AGGTTGTGGAGAAAGGGGAACCCTCCTAAACTGCTGGTGGGAATGTAATTTAGTTCAACCATTGTGGAAAGCAGTATGGAGGTTCCTCAAAAAACTAAAAATAGAAACCATTTGACCCAGGAATTCCACTCCTAGGAATCTATGCTAAGAACGCAGCAGCCCAGTTTGAAAAAGACATATGCACCCCTATGTTTATCGCAGCACTGTTTACAATAGCCAAGAAATGGAAGCAACCTAAGTGTCCATCAGTAGATTAATGGATAAAGAAGATGTGGTACCTATACAGAATGGAATATTATTCAGCCATAAGAAGAAAAGACATCCTACCATTTGCAACAACATGGATGGAGCTAGAGGGTATTATGCTCAGTGAAATAAGCCAGGTGGAGAAAGACAAGTACCAAATGATTTCACTCATCTGTGGAGTATAAGAACAAAGGAAAAACTGAAAAAACAAAACAGCAGCAGACTCACAGAACCCAAGGATGTGAGACAGGGACTCACAAAGAGACAATAAATCAGCCTACCTTGAGGGCAGGGCAGACAGTATGACTGATATGTGCCCAGGGACTGTGGGCTTAAACAGTAGGGTGAGGGCCTCCAGAAAAAGCAAAGCAAGATATTTACAGTCAAAGCAATGTAACAATGTAAAGTCCCTATCGAAACTCTTTGTTCAGCATTATGCAAAGTCAAGGTCACACTAATTCTCTAGGGTAAAGATACAAGACTAGGAATATAGACATCTTCAGTGAGATCAGTTAAAGGTCAAAAGGCCAGGAGCAACTTGGCCTGGAATGTTTTGAGTGTTCCGCAAGGGTATCTCAGCATAACCCGTGACTTCAGTGTCAACAGCCCTAGCAAACAGACAGCAACCCAGCCCACCTTGAGGGCAGGGCAGGTGGCACAAGTTCACAGCCTAAGCCCTCAGTTCCCAAAAATCCTCAACTACCTATAAATCCCCTAGACAATGCACCACCCCGGGCTGTCTTGTCCCCTCCTGGCATGAGCCAGGAGCTCTGTCCTCTCACTGTCTCTCTCAGTAAAAGCCTCTCCCTGGCTCTCCTACCTTGACTGTTTGCTAAGTTCATTCTTCGGCTCTGGAAACAAGAACCCTGGCATCAGAGACTAACAGTTACCAAAGGGAAAAGGACTGGGAAGGATGGGTGGAAAGGGAGGGATAAGGGGGGAAAAGGGGCATTACAATTAGCAGACATAATGTAGGTCCAGGGCACGGGGAGGGCTGTATAGCACAGAGAAGACAAGTAGTGATTCTATAGCATCCTACTATGCTGATGGACAGTGACTGTAATGGGGTTTGTGGCGGGGACTTGATAATGGGGGAAGTCTAGTAACCATAATGTTGCTCATGTAATTGTACATTAATGATACCCCCCCAAAAAAAAAGCCCAGCAGGTGTTAACAGGCCCTTAGAGAATCACCCAGTTCTCACTTCCCATTTTGCAGATCAGGAAATTGAGGCCCAGAGAGTGGAAAGGGCTTGCCCCAATCACATGGTAATGAATGGCAGATCCAGCGCAAATGGTTCCTGACCACACTGCTCAAGGCCTAAACCACAGAGGAGCTTGGGAAGGCAGTGTAGCTTGGGATGAGAGCCAAGGGCAGTGTTCTTCACCCCGATGCAGGCCTGAGAGGTGGCCCACTGTGAGGGTGGAGAAACTGAGGCTCTGAGCCTCCAGTGGCCAGACAAGCCTGGTTGCAGAAGAGAAAGAAGGCTGAGCTACCATGTGGGCTTTGCTGCTGTTCTGGAGCTGGGACTCTGTGCCCAGGAACAGGAGGGGTGGGAGGACAGGAGAAGACAGAGGTGGTCCTACCCAGGAACTGCAGGGAAGGTGTCAGCATCAGTTCCCCCAGACTCTGAAATCTGGAAGTTCCCTGAGGTTGAGGCAAAGTTAGGGGATGGAGGCAGTGACAGCCTCTGGGCTCCTTCCCAGAAAAAAAAAGAAAAAAGATTGCCTTTTTAAAACCCAAGAGGTTAAGTACAGTTCTTAAATTCTTTAGCAAAGAGACAATAAATCAGCCTACCTTGAGGGCAGGGCAGGCAGTATGATTGATATGCTCCCAGATGAGGAAGCTGCTATGCTGGGAAAAAATCTGCAGTAAATTTCTTATGTTACATTTTGCAGAATTACCTAGACTGATGAGAAAAGAGACTAATGTCTCATCAAGAATGAACATTCTAAGACCACTTCACAAGTCCACACCCCTAGCCCTTTATCAAATTTCTAAAAATCCTCAACCACCTATAAATCCCCTAGACAACACAGAACTATGGACTCTCTTGTCCCCTCATGGCCTGAGCCAGGAGCTTTGTCCTCTCACTTTTATCGCTAAATAAAAGCCTCTCTCTTGCTCTCTTACCTTGAGTGTTTGTGAAGTTCATTCCTCGACTCTGCGAACAAGAACCCCAGTATCGACTGGACCTACCTTGGGGGAAACACTATGAGCCCTTGTTAGACTGGCTAAGGTGAGCCTGCAGGAAGTTCGGGAAGGGGAACCCAGAGATGCTCCATCTGGAGGCAGCTGACTAGTGCAGTCTCAGGAAAGGTCTAGGCTCTGCTTGACCCACAAGGCCTCTGTGCCACAGGCTTGTCCTGCCGTGAGGCCTGGGGCTCTACCTTTAGTTCCCCTCGTTACCCAGTCCTTGGCTGTGGCGAGTAGTCAAGTGTAACCTCTTGGGTGACCGAGTACACGTCAGCAGGGGCAATTCCCCAGAAAAAGGAGAGACCAACACCCACAGCACTTGGGGGAATGGGCAACCTAGCCAGGTCAAGGGCATCTGGGTGGTTTATATATCGCCTCCAAAACAGGCTAGAAATCCAATAAACTCTTCAACCGTACTGCCACCACCCTGATCCACACCGTTGTTTGTCACCTGGGACACTTGAAAGCCTTCTCACTGCCTCCACACGTACCCCTGCAAACAGATCTACATCTAATACATAGCCAAGGTGGTCCTCAAAACCTGTTGGTCTTATCCCCACACTTGAAAGGTACAATGACAGTAAAATTCAAATTCTTCACTAGACCTACAGAAGTGGCCGTTACTTTACTTTGCCCATCTGTCCCCTTGCTGTGTTTTGACTACACTGGTTTTGTTTCCGGACTGCTCACATCTTTTCTACCCCAGGGTCTTAAACAGTTTTTTTCTGCCTGCTGTGTTCTTCCTTCTTTATGCCTGATTCTGTTTATCCTCAGGTCTTAAATTTCACTTTCTCTAGGTTTGCCCTTACCTTTCAATCTCTTTGCCTAGTTAATTTGTCAGATATAACTTCAAATATTTTTCTCAGCTACAGCAGATCCCCTTATGCTCATACCACTCTGCATTTCACATCTATTGCATTTATTGTAATTTATATTTCTATTTATTTGACTCTCAAAAAGTCTTACTTTCTTAAGTTACAAGTGTTCCAGAACCATGTGTTTTGTCTGCTGCTATGTGTTAGGTACTAGGCATTTAGCAAGTACGGAATAAACAACTAGGTGATTAAATGAATGAATCAATCAGGCACCCTGCAAGTCATAAAACGGGTCAGCTATGATCTTTAGACTACCAGCTTTAGGAGGCAAATATTCACAGATCCACAAGATATGTTTTATAAAGGTGGCACGTATAGAATGTCATGTTTCAGGGAGCCAAGAACAAGGAGGCCATGCCAGGGGTGAAGTTTGCCAGATGACAGAGTACAGGCAGACCCAGGCTGGAAGATGAAGAGATGTGAGGAGGGAGAGGAGGGAAGGTAGCTGGAGATGATGTGTGCAGGTAGGCAGGATCGGGGGGCTCTGCTGTGTCCCACCAAGGAGTCGGGGATCTGTCTGATCTCTGCTTCCCAAAGCATGCTCACAGAAAAGCATGAATCTCACAAGGTTTGGTTTGGCTTTTGATAAACACCGAGCACTTTCTGAGTTAAAACATACTCCCAAGTGTGTATATGTGTGTTGTCTCATTTATTTTCACGTTTTCCCCATTCACAGATGATCAACCAGGCTCCGAGGTGAGAGAGAGCTCACTTGAGGTCAAAGTTAATAAAAGATGGAGCCAATGTTCTGACTCAACAGCTGGAAACAGCAATTTCTTAAATATTCCAACTTAAAATGCCAATTTAATTTGGAAAATGTTGAGTTCATCAAGGACACTTCTTCAAACTTTAACTTTCAAACTTAAGCAAAAGGTTTTGTCTCATTAGTGGACTGTGAAATAAATTTAGTGGGTTGGGATCAACATAAAAAAGTATGTCATACACCTGAAACCAGTAATAATGTCAACTATATTTCAATTAAAAAAAGATTTAAAAAAATAAAAGCAACAGAACATACCAGAAGGCATCACACAGTCCATACAACTTTTGTTTTATCTATACACTTAACCATTCTAGAAAGCTAGCCTAAAATGTGACGGCACACCAGGCTGCCAGGGTACTAAGGAAAGTGGCCTTTCTTTGACTCACTGAATTTGAATTTGGGGAATAACTGATTCTTGGCCCAGGGGGCTATTTGTCTAAGACTCCTTCTAAGGCTTGTTTACTGTCAATCTTGTTCTCTTTTAATGAGACTATTTCAACTGCTGTTTGATTAGGACACAGCTTTTTTTTTTTCTTTGAGGAGACAATGAATTATTTATTTTCCTTTGTTCACTTTCCTATATTTCCAAAGTATTCTAAGTGATGGATATGCTCTATGCTTTCTTTTTTTTTTTTGGTATTATTAATCTACAATTACATGAGGAACATTGTTTTCAGGACACTGCTTTTTAAAGCTAAATGTGTCTTTTCCCAAAACTTATCACATGTTCAGATTGAGATCACACAAAATTATATTTCTGATTGTAAGTGTATGGACTTCGGAGAAAAATTGGTAAACACATTAAAAGATTAAAATTGACAGTAATACTACCACCCAAAGAGACACAATATTATACCCATTTCTGTGCCATGTTTTTTCTATTGAGGTGATTTTCTTCAGAAAAATGGGATACTATTGGCAGCATTTTATGTTAACATTTTCGATCCTTAAATATATTGATAATTTTTAATGGTTGTTCTTCATCGTAAGGACAGCCAATAATTTAGCCAGTATCCGTGGGGCACATTTTCAGTTTTTCCCTTTAAACACTGCTGTGAAGATCCCTGTAATTAATTTTTTGCAAATGTCCATAACTTATTTATGCTAAATCCTTGAAAGTGGCATTTCTAGGTCAGAGGGTGTAATATTTTTAAGATTTGTTACATGTTGTAAAATTGTTCTCCTGAATTTGTACCAATTTGCCCTCCTACTCACTGTGTATACACATTTTTTGACCCATTAGGCTCTTTTGTTGTGACATGTCTGGCTCCCTGTATTTATTTTGTGGCCCAAGGAGGGAAAGGAGGACGAGCTAAGCACCACTTAAGGCGATCTTGGGCAATGTGATCCTTTTCTGCCTCAATTCACTCATCTGAAAAGTAGAGAATAATTGGATTCCCCACTTCACAGGACTGTAGGGAGGATTAAATAGACTAATAAACATAATGTATTTAACACTATGCCCAACATATAGTAGTGGCATTTATCACCATTCCCAGTGTTACCTTCCTTTCACTGTTTGTTCAGCAAATGCTGCCTTTCACCTTAGCAAATGAAGACACATGTAAAAGCCAACCCATTGGTCTTGGCATTCTATGTATTCTTGTGTAAGCATTCGCTATAATGAGGTAGTTTCCCCACTCTCCCTCTCAGTTCTCTTCCACTCCTAAAAACATCTAAGTCGCCAGGAGCCTCTGGGTCACTTCTAACCACTAGATGGCCGAGCTGTAGGGTGATTATTTCCTTAGGCAAGCAAACACTTGAGCCTCTAATATGGTATTTCCGGGCTGGAAAATCAACAGGAAATTCTGTGGCAAAGAGCTCTGCCAAAACAGTCGTTCCAAGGCAGGGAACGGTAAGCCGATCAATTTGCCCGGGCCTGTACTACATCCCGCAGCCTCCGCATGCAGTCGGGGCCGCAGGCAGGTCGCTCTGACTCGGCCTCTGGGTCACTGAGCCAAGGGGCCCAGGTGTGACCCTATGTGAGAGAACCAGACATACAAAAATCTGCACTTCCAAAGCAGCTGGGCCATTTATTGGCATTTGGAAAACACTTCTTTAAACAAGGGGGAGGAGGACCCTTGGGACTAAAGTCTCACCCACTTTCATGAAAACTTGCGACCAAACTCTCCATTATCTGTACGCAGCTTAATCATGAACAGGAGCCAAGTATTCACGTTAAATAACCTGAGCCAAACGTCCCACCACGAGATAATAAAGACAAAGCTGCGCGGAGGGCAGGGGCGCAACGTTGGCGCCCTACTCTGCCATGTTTCAAACACAAAAGACCCTAACAATTCCTCAGTGTGGAACAAAACCGCTTCCCACTGTCTCTCCAGGCAGTCATTTAATTATCAATAGTCCAAGAGGTAAGAAAATGTCGGGGGAGACAGGGGCGTACCCTTCGGCTCCGCGCGTGGACTTGCAGCTGAGGGGCCAAGCCCTTTCCTGGAGAGCGCCCTGAGGAGCCCACGCATCAGGTCTCGGCCCTCCGTCTATGAAATGCAGCCGCGGGGGGCCACGTCCACTAGGCCTCCAGGTCGAAGTCGTCGCGCTCCTCGTTGTACTCCAGCACGTGCCGCCTGATCTTGGACGAGTCAACCCAGGTGACGTAGTCCTCCATGCTGCGCGTGACCAGGAAGGCGGGGTCGGTGACCACGTCCGGGCCCACGCGCACGTGGCCCTGCTCCACGAAAGCCACGGCGGCCTGGAGGTGCTGCGCCATGCGCAGTTTAAGGAGCACGGTGGGCAGGCGGCGGCGGCAGAAAGATGAGGCCGTGACGAAGTCGCAGAGCTCCAGCGAGCCGCGCGTGGGCACCAGGCCGAGGGCATACAGCTTGTCCAGCAGCGCGGCCGAAGCGCGCACACGGAACGGGTCTCTCTCGGGCAGGTCGCGCAGGCGCCGCGCCAGCTCACGCACGGCACGGCTCAACTGGTTGTAGCGCGTGTAGTCCTCGCGCCGCTGCAGCCGATACCGCCGCAACACGCGCAGCTCGTGCAGATTGTGGTCGGTGACCTCCCAGTTCAGGAAGTCCACCTGCTTCAGCAGCTTCTGCTCGTGGAACTTAAGCTTCCGCACCATGACGGCGACTCCGGGTGCCGCAAGGCTGCAGGCTGAGGGCGCCTTTCCCAGCCGGGGAGACTTCCGCCTCAGCGCCCGAGGGCCCGGGGAACCCTGGGCCAATGAAGGAGAGGCCCAGTGCCACGCCCTCGATCTCCATTGGTCAGAGTGGGGTTTCGCTTCACATCTGTGTCTCGCGTTTCTTCTCTTCACGTTCCCGAGGGGAGGAGCATCTGAAGCGCCTGAAAGAGGCGGGGGCTGGGGGCGGGGCCCGAAGCAAGTCTGCGCGGCCCTTACTTTGCAAGAATACATTCCTGATCTGATCATGTCCTTTGGTTCATAGTTTTTCTGCCTTTCAAGGACTCTCAGAAGAGTCTCCCCGACAGGAACTAAAGAGGCCAGTTCCGGGCAGGAGGGGTGACCGCCACGCTGGTTTGATTGCGTTTACTGTGTTGACTGACCGTTGGGATCCTCCCATTTCGTGGGGAGCCGCCTCGAGCTGGGGGGTCCCCGCCGCTCGCCAGCGCAGGTCTTTCGCCAGGCGGGCGAACGGTTCCTCGCTGCCAAGTGGGGCTGGGCGCCGCCGAACCTATGAAATACTGATTCCCGGGCCACTTCCTTCACTTAAAGGGACTCGGGGTCTACACGGGACCCACCTGGAAATCTGTATCGCTAACAAGAATGCAGGTGATTCATAAAACCCAGCAAGTGTGAGAAACTGGGATAACAAGTGCAAGTCCTGATCCTTAGTCCGAGCTCAAACGAATTAGCCTGACGGGGTGGATTTCTGGTCATCGAGTACTGAGTTAACAAATTTCACGTGGTGTCGGCTAGTTGTATCTATAGATTACACCTGAGTGCAGTGCTACAGGGCTCTCGCCTCTCTATTTGCCCAGGCCTTTGACGCCCCCTAGCTTCTTGTCTGATCATTTTGTTTTATTTCTGTATACATTTCATTGTCTTTTTAAATATAATACTTGCTATATGGAAAATAATGTAAGTAGCATATGTTAATTATAAAGTATAATGAATACTTATGAACTGAACAGGCAGTTTATGAAAACGTCATAAGGACCATTTCAATTACCTGTTCCAGCCGCCTTCCAGTCAGAGGTAAAGTACCTACTCTCCTAAATTTTGAATTTACTTTTCCCTTTTGTTTCAAAAGAAAAATAGTTTTATCATTAAACATGCATCCCTAAATATATTGAGAACCTTCTAACTCAAAGTACAGCCTTACTCAAAGCAGAGAGCTTGTTGGAAATGCAGAATTTCAGGCCCCATTCCTGACCTACAGACAGAGAATCTGCATTTAACAAGATCCCCAGGTAATGTGTATATACACTGGCATTTAAGAAGTGTTGCTTAGAAAAGATCACACCATATGGGGTTTATTATATGTAGCTGTAGTTTTTTTTATTACTGCATAACATTCCATCATTTGGCTCTATCCAAGTTATTAATCATTTTTTCTGTTGGTATTTTTTGGAAGGGACTATTTTTAGCAGTGCTACTAACATTCTTATAGGTCTCCTGTTGCATTAAGCAGTGGCTTCTGGTATACCTCTTGGAGCAGAATTGTTGAGTTTTAAAGTACGTGCATGCTCACCCTTACTAGATATTGCTAAATTGTTTTCCAAAGGGGTTGTGCCAATTTATACTCCTCTGGCAGTGCATGAGAATTACTCCCTTTGCTCCTCATTCTCACCAATGCTGTTTGTTCTTTTTTTTTAAAGATGTTTGCCAATCTGGTGAGTGTGTGATAGTATTTCATTGTGATTTTAATTTGCATTTCTCTTATAAATAAAGGTTTCATACGTGTTTCATCCTCTGTGTAATGCATCTTCATGTCTTTTGTTTATTTTTCTATTGGATTGTGAGGTAAGTGGAATAATGGCCCACCAAAGACTTCCACCCAGAACCTGTTAATATGTTAACTCACATGACAAAAGGGATTTGGCAAATGTGATTAATATAGGGATCTTGAGATGGTGAGATTATTCTGGATTATCTGGATGAGTCCCATGTAATCACAAGGGGCTTTATAAGTGAAAGAGGGAGTTGGAAGAGTCAGAGGAGATGGGATGATGAAAGCATAAGTCTGATGTGATTGCTGGCTTTGAAGATGAAAGGGGCTAGGAGCAGAGGAATGTGGGCAGCCTCTAGAAGTTAGAAAAGGCAAGGAACGGATTTTTCCCCTAGTGCCTCTAGAGGCTCACACAGCCTCTAAGAAACACAGTCCTGCTGACACCTTGATTTTAGCCCAGTGAGATCTAGGTCTCCAATGTATTTCTAGATTCTGATCTCTAGTACTGTAAAAGACCAAATTTGTGTTATTTTCTGCCATTAAGTTTGTGGTAATTTGTTACAGCTGCAAGAGAAAACTAATTGCTTGCTTTTTTTCTAATTGATTTGAAGATGTTCTTTCTATATTCTGGATATTAATCCTTAACCAGTTACATGTGGTGCAAATATATTCTCTAAGTTTGCATTGCATGCTCAGCCCAGCCTCACTCTCTCTATCCTCAGCCCTTACTCAACATATTTGCAGCAGGATTCTTGGTAAACTTCTTTCTTCCCAGAAAATAAACATAATAAATAAGTTAAACTATACGTGTCAGCAGGCGGTAAGTATTATAAAACAAAACTGAGCCAGATATAGGAGAGCTTGGGGCAAAGATGGGCTGTAATTTTAAATAGGTCGTGACAGGGTAGGTCTTATTGAGAAGGTGATACTTTATAGGGGTTTAGCCATGTGGCTGTCTAGCAGAAGAGCATTTCAAAAAGAAGAAACAGTGCAAATGCATTAAGACAGAAATGTGCCTGGCATGTGAGAAGAGGAATAACAGAGCCATCTTGGCTGGAGCAGAGTGAGCTAGGTCGGAAGGACAGTGGGCTCAGAGTCTCATAAACCTGTAAGGACTTTGGGTTTTATGTTGAGTGAGATGAGGATACTGAAGGGCTCTGAGAGAGGACTGACATCTAACTTACGTTTTAGAAGGATCACTCTGACTGCTGTGTTGAGAACAGGGGTGGAAACTGAACAGACCATTAGGAAGCTGTTGCAGTGATTCACCCAGATGGTGTCTGGGACCAGGACAGCAGTCCCAGGATGCTGGTAAGAGAAGAATCCCAGGGTGGGAGAGTCCCGGCTCAGGCGTCCTCCTTGCAACCCTGCACTTTGACCTGAGCAAGTAGAAGAAAGTACTCATCATTTGAGACAGGGAAGTCTGCCAAGTAGAACAGGTTTGGTGGGCAAGATTAACATTTTGAACATGTTGGGTTAGAGATGCCTGTTTGACATCCAAGGAGAGATGTCAGGGGAAAATATGTGAGTCTGGAATTTTAGAGAAAGGCCTGGGCTGAAGATTTTAAAAATTGGAGCATTACTGGCAGATAGAGGATGTTCCAACCCATGAGCCTGCGTGAATCATCAAAGGAATGAATATGAATAGAAAGGACAAGAGGACCACTCTATACTGTAGTCACTCTAGTGTTAAGAATTATTTGGGAGGAGAGGATGAACCAGTGAGGTAGAAGGGAAGCCAAGAAAGTATGGTCGCCCCAGTGCAAGGGAACAGTGTGTCTGGGGAAGGAGTGAGCAGTCCACCTGGTTAAATGCTGCTGTGAGGTTGAGGAAGAGTGAGAATGAGGGGGAAAGTCCCAGCTGGAGGGCGTAGGCAAGGCTCCAGGGCATAGCCAGGAAAGGGCTGAAGCCTTTTTCCTTGCTTTAGGCACCTGCTCCTCCAGGAAGCCTTCCTTGCTTCTTGCTCGACCCAGACTGGGATAGGTGCCCTCCCATGCACATTTCATGGCAATGGTCACACTGGGAGCATCTGTCTACTTGTCCCAACACGTTTGAGCTTTTGGAAGGTAAGAACAATGTCTTACTGTCTTTGTAGTTAGGAGGCCTGGTACAGAGTAATTACTCACTGCATTCCTTGAGTACATGATTGAATAAATGAGACAGAAACAGAATGGATGAATTAAGGACAAGAGGGTGGCCTATAAACCCTCCAGAGCAGGAAAGCCGGCTGCCTTGTTGTGTTGTAATCCCGAGTCCAGCACAGTGCCTGGCAGTCAGTGTCCAAAGCGTTCTGCAGGGACCAACCGAAAGTCAAATCCCCATGCCTCTTCCTGGAAGCCTGCGCTGACTACCTCTCTCTCCTTGGTGCTGCTGGCAAAGACGGAACATCCAGTTCCTGCCGCTGCACAAAGCAGCACGGAACCGGGTCATGCCTGGGGCTTGTTCCCTGTCGCTACAGATACAGGGGCTTGGTTTTCTCCCTGAAGTCAGTCTCCCAAGGCAGGGGTGTGTTTGGTCTGCCTAGGGTACTAGGACTCGCAGCGGCCGGTAATCCCAGGCCGCTCGTTTCTTCCTTGAGTGTGCTGCTGGCTCTGGGTCCTTCCTTGGGAGAACAATTCCTGGGCTGCGTCACCGCCCGATCCCGCGGGCGTAGGGGCGGGGGGCAGGGGACTGGGAAGGGGGTGTCTGCGGCTCTCCTCGCCCGCCTTCTCAACCCCCTTCCTCGGGTCCCGGCTCAGGCGCCCTCCTTGCAACCCCGCACTTGGAAACTTTGTCCTCCACTTGCGTCACGGAAAAGGCAGGAGGACTACGGAGCCCTAGAGGCGAGGCGGCGGCAGCGCGGCGCTCAAACTCCCGGGGGCGAGGGGTGTCCCCCCGCGAGGGGGGGCGGGCTGGGGGAGCGCCGCCCGGGGAGCCGGTCTTGGAGGCTCGCGGCCCCCTGGTTCCCGGGTCGTCGTCGCCTCTCGCAAGCCATCCCAGCGCCACTGCGAGGGGGCGAGCGGCCGGAGGAGAGGAGCCAGGGGCAGGCGGGGCGCGGGCCGCGGGAGGGCGGAGCCGGGTCGTCCCTGCCCGGCCCGCACGCACGGAAGTGCCGGGAGTTCGCCCGGTTCCCCGGCCTGCCCTCCTCCCCGTCCCTCCCCTCCCTCCCCTCCCCCCGGCTGTTCCCTCCTCTCCCCGGACGCCGCCTCCCGGAATCCTTTTTTTCCCTTCTTCTGTTTTGGAGCTGGCTTCTCGCTGGCTGCGCCGAGGGGCTGCGAGTGCTCCCGAAGGCGGGCTGGGGGCGCAGCTCGGTCGCCCGCCCGTGCGGGGCCGAGAGGAGGCCCTGCGGCAGACCCCCGGGCGCGCCGTCTGCTCCCGGAGCCCACCCCGCGGCGCCTGTTGGGTGTGTGCGGGCGCGCCAGGGGCGGGGGTCCGGCCGGGGGCCGCGCGGATCACCTTCGGACGGGGCTCTTCCGACTCGGATCAGAGTCAGCTTTGGGCACCGAAACTGCCGAGCAGTCAGGCAAACAAAAGAGGCCACTCAGCCGGTGGCCAGCAGGCGCCCGAGTGCCTCGTCGCGTCCCGTGGGGCGGGGAGAGGGCGCCCCGCCGGCCGGGGAAGAAGAGTTGGCGGCCCGCTGGGTGGCCTCGGTGCTTGTTTTCCCGGCCTGGCTTGTTGTGAAGCCGGACACATCCACCCTTGGACCCGATTCAGGAGGCTGCTGCTTTTCTTCTCGCCCCTCTTGGATTTTCCGGATTTTTGAAAACCCAGTGGCCCAGGAGGAGGAGAAGGAAGGAGGAAGGAGCAGGTCTGCAGAGGAATGTGACAGCGGCCCGAGGCCGGGTGGGTGGGGGGCCACAAGGAGCTGGGAGCCGCCGCTGCAGGGTTTCTGGAAAGGTGTTGTTCCAGCGGAAAGTGTCTGTCGACTTCTTACCCTTGCAGAGCTGATTTTTACGAGTCGCCCGACTTTCTCTCCGGGAGAGAGAGGCTGGAGACACATCCCCCTTCAGGGGCCGCCCCAGGAAGGCAGGAGGACTATGGACGTGAGCCCTCCCTGCTCACAGGAATGTGCCAGGAGATCTGATAGGGCAGTTCCTGGGCCATGGACATTATTCTGAAAAGAGGGGTGCTGGACAGAATCTGTGGGTGCTGAGACCACCCTTAGGGGCTGAGAGACTGAGTTGCTGTGAAAGGCCTCTAGTTGCTAGTACATCCTTGGGCACCCTGGTGAGTGTCCCCAGTTGCGGGCAGACCCTCTCCTTACCCTCTCCCACCACAGGCCCAGCCATGGCACTGAGAGGCCGGGCTCTCTACGACTTCTGCAGCGAGAACAAGGAAGAAATCAGCGTCCGGCAGAATGAGGACCTGATCGTCTTCAGCGAGACCTCACTGGATGGCTGGCTGCAGGGCCAGAACAGCCGGGGGGAGACGGGGCTCTTCCCCGCCTCTTACGTGGAGATCATCCGTTCTGGCCCCAGCTCCAACCACGCAGACTGTTCCCGCAGTCCCGCAAGCTCTCTGGGCACCCAGGCGAGCTTGTACGACAGCTCCAGTGTGGCCAGCCCTTCAAGGAGTGGTGGGCACGGTGGCTTCCTCTCAAACCAGGGCAGCTTTGAGGAGGATGAGGACGATGACTGGGATGACTGGGATGATGGGTGCACTGTGGTGGAGGAGCCACGGGCTGGCGGGCTGGGCACCAATGGGCACCCCCCACTCAACCTCTCCTACCCTGGTGCTTATCCCAGCCAGCACATGGCCTTCCGGCCCAAGCCACCCCTGGAGCGGCAGGACAGCCTGGCATCTGCCAAGCGAGGCAGTGTGGTGGGGCGCAACCTCAACCGTTTCTCATGCTTTGTGCGCTCTGGAGTGGAGGCCTTTATCCTAGGTGATGTGCCCATGATGGCTAAGATTGCCGAGACATACTCCATTGAAATGGGTCCTCGTGGCCCTCAATGGAAGGCCAACCCCCACCCATTTGCCTGCTCAGTGGAGGACCCCACCAAACAGACCAAATTCAAGGGCATCAAGAGCTACATCTCTTACAAGCTCACACCCACTCACGCTGGCTCACCTGTCTACAGGCGCTACAAACACTTCGACTGGCTCTATAATCGCCTCCTGCACAAGTTCACTGTCATCTCAGTGCCTCACCTGCCCGAGAAGCAGGCCACGGGCCGATTTGAGGAGGACTTCATTGAGAAGCGGAAGCGGCGGCTCATCCTCTGGATGGACCACATGACTAGCCACCCTGTATTGTCCCAGTATGAGGGCTTTCAGCATTTCCTCAGCTGCCTGGATGACAAACAGTGGAAGATGGGCAAACGCCGGGCAGAGAAGGATGAGATGGTGGGTGCTAGCTTCCTGCTCACCTTCCAGATACCCACGGAGCACCAGGACTTGCAGGACGTGGAGGACCGCGTGGATACTTTCAAGGCATTCAGCAAGAAGATGGACGATAGCGTCCTACAGCTTAGCGCTGTAGCTTCGGAGCTGGTGCGTAAGCATGCGGGGGGCTTCCGCAAAGAGTTCCAGAAGCTGGGCAGTGCCTTCCAGGCTGTCAGTCATGCCTTCCAAATGGACCCCCCCTTTAGCTCTGAGGCCCTCAACAGTGCCATTTCTCACACGGGCCGCACCTATGAAGCTGTGGGTGAGATGTTCGCTGAACAGCCCAAGAATGACCTCTTCCAGATGCTCGACACGCTGTCTCTGTACCAGGGCCTGCTCTCCAACTTCCCTGACATCATCCACCTGCAGAAAGGTAAGGCCAGTATGGGTTGGAGACGCTGACTGACTGTCCTCTGCTGGGCACGGGGGATGTGAGATGGCCTCGTCTCGTCTTTCCGTTCTGTCTCATTCATTCACTCAGCAGGTGCTACTCTAGGTGCAGAGATATTATCGTGGACAGGTCTGCTCCCTGTCCTCATAGAGCTCACTGTTTACCTTCCTGTCTGTTCATTCATTCATTCATTCATTCATTTTCTCTGTTTCTGTCTCATTTACTCATTTACCCATTACGCACTGAACGCTCCAAGTATCAGCCTGTGTCTGGGAACGTGGAGATGACCAGGGCCCAGGCCTTGCCCTGGAGGGGAACACAGAGCTATGGGGCACGTGGACACAGACCCAGATAACAAGAGCAGACATAGCGTGCAGCCTGTCTTCCCACTCCTCACATGCTCACCGCCCCGCCTTGGTGGCTTCAGAGTCTGTTTTCATTACTGCGTAGCCTGTCTATAGGCTCCCTGAGTGGGAGGCTCACTGTCCCCATCTTGCAGATGGAGAAGCTGGTGTCCACAAAAGGGGGTTGTATAGGGGGTCCATGGCCCAGCTGAGACTGTACTTTCCTCCTGTGCCTCCCCAAGGACATGTCCATGTTGGCCACCTCCCAAGCCCAGCCATGTTTTCAGTTCCCACTGCCCCCTCTGGGGGGTAGGGACAGGATGGGTCCCTGTCTGTTACTGCGAGGCTGTCAAGGAACTGCCAGGGAAGTGAATCATCTGGGGTCGTGTCGGGTCACCCCGGCTGGGCTGGGGGAGGAACCAGGGGTCCAGAGCGTCATCCACATGGCCCGTCTAACTCCCCTTTTCTAAGCGTGGCTTCTCTTCTTGTCTGAGCAGCGAGTGAGTCGGGGGCTCTTCAGGCAGGTGTCTGAGTCCTAGGGACAACAGGCAGGGCAGATGTCAGGAGAGAGGTGTGGTCCTCCCTGGGCAGCTTGGGAAGTCAGGAAGGGCTTCTAGGGCGTGGGGCTGGCTCCCTGGCCCCTAAACCCTGAGGTCAGGCCTGGCTTGGTAGAGAGTTTTCCTCTGGGTGGGGCCCGGGAGGCAGGCCTCTGAACTGAGCCTGAGCTGATGGTATTTGTTGTCCCCCAGGCTCCGTGCCTACCTTGGTACCAAGGAGGGTCTGGAGTAAACCAGCCCCGCTCTCCTTTACCAGGAGGTCGACCTCCAGAACTTCTCCAGTTCGCAGCCCCCTTTGTTCTCCTGCTTTCTCCCCCTCCTCATTCTCTCTGCCCTTCCTACTCATCCCACAGTCTTGCCCCCGCTGCTTCCCTCTTCTTTCAGGAGACGGGAGACCTGAGTTTTAGTTTTAGCTCCACCCTCGGTCAGCTCCATGGCCCCGGGAAGTGTCCTCTCTCTGGGCCTTAGGTGTATAAAATGAGGGAGGGTGAACCCAGTGAGTTCTTAGGCCTTAAAGGGTCGGGGGGCGAGAGACACCTGCGGAGGGTCTGGTGAGGACAGAGCGGTACTCAAGAGCTGTCTCTGAGCTCTAGGGTAGGACAGGACAGGGGAGGTGGCTGGCCTGGCTGGGGCCCCCTGGGGCAGGTGTCTCCCTGTGCAGAGGTAGAGCCATGCTCCCTGCTGTGCGAGGCCCTGGGAGAGCTGGTTCAGCCAGCTCCTCGGGTGACATGTTCCTGCGTGGGCAGTGGGATGGGGAAGGCAGGAGCACACGACTGAGCAGCCGCCCCGTGCGCCAGCTGGGGACCCTCACCCAGGCTTATGGCGGGAAGGCAACTCCATACCTAGGACTTCTAGGCTCGCACCGAAGCAGCAGGGAGTGAAGCTAGATGGCCTTTCTGACCCTGGGGCAGAGAGACAGGCCAAGAGAGGCTCTTTCTGAGTTTCCCCTTGAAGTGTTCCGAAGGGTAAGAGGCCAGGAGTCTTCTGGGGTAACATGTCCAACCTTAGGCAGAGGTGCACCCACCCTCTCTCACCCAGAGACCCCTCTCCCTTTTGGGGTGACCCTCCCTCCTTCCGGGCTCTGCACTGCCATCCCTAGGCCTATGGGCACGCAAGGAAGGAAGGGGGCTTGGACTCTGGCTGACACAGAACTGGTCTAGCTTTGGGGGTACCGTGGCCTGATGGGGGGAAGAGGGGTCCCGTGCTGGCCCTGTAGATAGAGCCTTTTCTCAGAGGAAGGAGCAGGAAAGTTGGGCCTTGGGTCCCCAGGACTCTGTCCAGCCTGTCTTGATATCTGAAAGGTGGTGAGTGTGTGTGGGAGCCCATGGAAGAAGGGACGTGGGAGGCCCTAGTGGGGTCAGGGGACCAGGATTTGGACAAATGTTGCCTCTCGGGTGACTGGGAGAGTTTTTTAACCTCAGTGTCCACCTTAGTGAAATGGGACTTGGAGCTGGGTTGGCACTGCAGTGAGGCCCACCGGCCTGTCTGTGCTCTGGCCCTGGCCCTGGCGCTTGGTCCAGTGGTCTCCGAAGAGAAGGACAACCATGTAATTAACCATCCATACCAGGGCAATTTTGGGAGTGAACTGAAGCCTAATAATAGTTACCCTGGGACAACAAGGGGAAATGGTGACTGTCCAGGGCCCCTACCTGAGAGCCTGCCAGGGCAGGACCCTGTCCTAAGGCGCATCACAAGCCAGGGAGGCTGGTGTGGCCCCTCCATTTCACAGGTGCAGCGCAGCGGGGCAGGACAATAAGCAAAGCATGAGCCAGAGCCCAGGTGTGTCGGATGCCATGGCCCAGGCTCTTTCCTCCGCTGTGCCAGACACGTGGGGGAGGGGGCTTCCCAAGGCTGGGTTCCTGGGGCAGAGGAACAAGAGAGGGAGGAGGGATGAATTCAGCTGGCATCCTCAGCGGGCGGGAGGCAAGCCCAGGACCCCAGAGCATACTTGGAGGGGCCCTGGAGCTCACAGGCTGGCCAGGGCAAAGTGGCCCTCGAAGGACCAAGCTATTGACTCCGGGGACAGGGGGGTCCAACCTCTGTGTTCTGGGCCATCATCTAACCCTCCCTCTGCCTGCATTCCTAGGCGTCTGTAAACAAAGAGGATCGTGTTGCCTGAGTCACCACCAGCTGGTTCTTGCTGGGACTGAAAAGCACTTTGCACCCAGTTGCATGTAGCGCCTGGCGCTCTTGCTCTGTTAGGTGCTGTCCTAAGTACTTTACACATGTAGCTGAGGTTCCATTAAACCTCAACTATTCTACAGAGTGGGTGCTTTTATTATCTAATCTGACAGACCTGGCAACTCGAAAGCACTAGACCACTGTGAGCAGCTGTTAGCAGGGTCACACCTAGTCTAGCGTGTTCCATTTGACAGTGGGAGACCTGCAGCCCAGGTGAGAGCAGTGGCCTGCTGGAGGTGACACAGCTTGGACTAGGGCTCAGACCTCTTGTCCCCAGCCTTGGGTGGGTGGTAGCTAGGTGGGGACAGGGTGCATTAAGGTGGGAGTTTAGGGAGTATGCCTGGGACTCTGGGGCTCTGAAGTGTCAACCCTCCTTTCTTAGTTCCTGGGACCCAGCCTACAGGGCACCTGCCAGGACTGCAAACTCCCCTGGGTCCTGAGTTCTCAGACTGGGTCCTAAGTGGAATGTTCGGGGGATGCCAGACAGGCCTGAGCCCTGACTCCCAGTCTATCTCTGGGGTGCCTTAGTGTTAGCTGGTGCCTTCCCCAGATCTGAGTCACAGGGTGGAGAGGTGACAGAGACCAGGATGGGGCATCCACCTCCCCTTCTTCCCTGTGTCTTTCGCCCCATCCCTGGCTCCCTGCCTGTCTGTGGATACCCAGCAGTTAAAGTGGATTAATTCCTATTATTCAGGCCTCAGTCTCCTTATCAGCACAAGGGACTTTTCCCTTTCTTCCAAGGCTACTGTCAGAAAAACCCTCTTGAGTGCAGGTCCACCCCCGCCGCATCCAGCCTTTTTTAGGCAGGTGGGATCCAGGCTCGTCAGTCCCCTCTTCTGGTAGGTTCATTTTGCTAAAGCTGAACTCCAGCTTCTTTGTCCTTCTGTTTCCTACCTAACTCCTTACAGTCCTTCCTATCAAATCCCTGAGTCCATTGTCTGGGGTCACCACACAGATGCCTGGGTAACCTGGCATGGGCTCCATGCGGTGGAAGTGGTGGCCACTCCCTACTGTGTGAGGCAGGAAGGAGGCTGGGAGCTCTCCGGCAAGTCCCTCCCCTTCAGGGCCTCTTCCCTCTGTACAGCAGGGCCTGGGCGTGGAGGTGAGGACTAGGCAGCTGCCCTCTAGGGCTTCTCCAACTCTGGAGAAGTCTCTTAATAGGTCCTCATTCTAGGCCTTGGGGTGGCCCCGCCTCTGCTGCCTAGTTGGGGTGGAACAGGCGGCACAGGGACTGAGTGGACTGCAGAGTTCCTTTGTGTGCTGTGCAGGCAGCCCTGGAGAATCTTGACACTTGTCTCTGTCTATTCCAAATGCCGCTATTAGCCGATTAGCCATGCACTTGCCAACCAGTATGGGTGCTGCCCCTTCTAACGGCCTCCAGGGTTATTTCTAGCATATAGAGCCCTGGGCCTGGCGTACAGTAAATGCTCAGTAAAAGGATCTTGAATGCATTGGACAACTTGAGCGAGACTAAAAAGAATACATCTTGAAGGTCCCCTCCTTTTTCTTTTTCTTTATTAAGGCGTCATTGACATACCATCTTACGAAGGTCTCCCATGAGGAGCGCTGTGGTTCCTACGTTCCCCCGTGTGCCCTGAAGCCCTCCTCCTTAAGGAGAAGTGGAAAGCGGGGATAGTGAGTGTGCTGTTTGCACACAGTGGGTGCTTTGAGGTGCTCGGGAGTGTGCTGTCCATGTCGCCCCTTCCCACTTCCTTACTCTTTGCGCAGTGGATTCCTTGACGCCTGTGAGGAGCGTGCAGGCAGACTGCTTCCTTCTCCCGCAGCTGTCTGCGGCTGTCCCCCCAAGTTACGAGCCTGTTCATTCAGAACTGAAATCCATTCACCAGCTGCTTGTAGATTCTTCTAAATTGGGCTCCCCATTCAGCTTCATCCTTCACCTTCCATCTGTCACCTGGTTGTTACAAGGTCTCCTCTCTTCCCCTAGAGGCCCGGATGGGGAGGGGGCAAGGCCTCTGTGTGGGGGAGTCACACACAAAGGAAAACTGCAGGTGGCCTTTGAGGCACTGTTTTAGAATCAGCAGTGCGATGGGGATGGGCAGAACCTGGGAGAGATGAGATGGGGGAGGCGTTCTGGGGACACCGGGAGTTTCTGGCGTAGAGATGGCACCTGAGCCTGAATGGGTCTTTGAATTATGCATAGGGATCCAGTGGGCAGAGGTGGGAGGGTAGGAAAGAGCAGAGTGAACTTGATGAACATGGGATCAATGTGGAGTGGGTGCTGGGGCCAACTCCCAGAGGGCCTCACAAGCAGGCGAATGTGTGTGGACCTTGTTTTGCAGACAGAGGGGAGACAGGGAAGGGGGTTGGAGCTATGGGTGCCCAGCTTGGCTGCTCTTCAGATACTGTGGAGAAACTCTTAGAGGCTGAGGCCTATGTGGGAAGCCCCTTGGGGGCCTATTTTAGTAGTTCATTGAGGAACAGTTCCAGTCAGCTCAGCAGACAGTATCAAGATCTGCTATGGGCTGGGCCTTATTCTGGGTACTAGAGACATTGACCTCTCAACACAGAGCTCACAGCCCACAGCCCAGGGAAACAGAGAAACCACAGGATGTTAAGAGCTGTGGGTGAGGAAAGCCCACGGCACCTGGGAGCAATGGGGGTACCTAGTGCAGTGGGGGTTGCAGGGAAGGCTTCCTGGAGGAGGTGATGTCTGAGCTGAATTAAGAGCCTGGGGGAGAGATGATGAGGCTTGTACTGAGTAAGGACAGCCTGATCCTGGATGTCAGTACAGCTGGCAGGGCTGTGACTGGTTGGGTATGGGCAGCTGCTGGTGCCATAGGTTTGGAGAGAAGGTGTGCTGCAGGTGAGGGTTTGGGGGACATCCTGGTGGAGACACCCAGGTGGCTGGAGCCGTGGGTCTGGAGTCCGGCAGTGAAGTCTGAGTTGAGAGCCTGTCTGCTCACCAGAGGGCTCACGGGAGGTATAGAGGGCCAGTGGGAGACCAGAGCCCTAGCCTCCCTTGTCCTCCGCTTGCCCGTGCCAGGAGCCTTCGCCAAGGTGAAGGAGAGCCAGCGCATGAGCGATGAGGGCCGCATGGCGCAGGACGAGGCGGACGGCATTCGCCGGCGCTGCCGTGTGGTGGGCTTCGCCCTACAGGCTGAGATGAACCACTTCCACCAGCGCCGTGAGCTCGACTTCAAGCACATGATGCAGAACTACCTGCGCCAGCAGATCCTCTTCTACCAGCGGGTAGGCCAGCAGCTGGAGAAGACGCTGCGCATGTACGACCACCTCTGACCACACGCACCTGGCTCCCTCCCCGCTCCCAGGCCCGTTGCTGCAGTGCCCACTGCTGTCCAGGCCTCCCCTCCCAGCAGTGGTGAGGACGGTGGGGGTGGACTTTGGAGGAATCCTGGGTGTGCCTTAGAGCTAGGAGCGCAGCAGGGGTGAGGCCTGGGCTGCCGGTCAGTCACTTGAGGCAAGGCCACGGTCTTGGCCTCCCCAGAACCTACAGCACCTGCTCACCTGGCCACCATCCCCTTGCTAATTCAGCAGACACTGGGGCCTGCTGCAGCTCTGGGTCAGAGGCTGGGTACCCAGGGCTGCCCTTGGGATGTCTCCAGTGGAAGTGGGGTCAGACACAGAAATAGACAAGGGCAACGCAGAGTGACCAGTGGTAAATAGGAGGTTCCTGGAAGCTCACAGAAGGGACCATTCATTCTGCTGGTCAGGAAAAGATCCACAGAGTAGGTGATATTCGAGCAGTGTCTCGGAGAATGGTAAGAACCTGCCAGACAGTAAATGATGACAGTAGGTGGGGAGGACTTTCAAAAGAGAGGGACAGTGTGGGCAAAGGTCTGGAGGCATGAAAACAGCCCTCTCCTCTCCCTCACCTTTCTCAAGCAAGTTTGGTGCCCCCATGGTGGGGACCCTGGCCTGCAGGACAGAAGGGAAGCCTCTTCCTTGCTCTCCCGTCTCAGTCCCTGCCCCGCCCCCACCCCCCCAGGAGGGGCTGCAGGCCAGCTTTTCTTGACTCCACCTGCTGAGCCCCTGTCACCCCTTGGTTAGTGGACCATGCAGCATCTATTCCCTGGGCTCAAGGTGCTGGGACAAGCTATGGACCTCATGACCCTGGTGTCACCTTCCTGGGGGTGACAACTAAAAGTTACCACATATTTGAGTTCACCACACTCCAAGTAGGCTTGGGCCCCAGGCCCTCAGGCTCCTTGGTCCCTGTGAACCCCAGAAGCCTTCTTGTTGCACTGCCCAAGGGTCCTAGGCCCGCGTGCCACTGCCAGCCTGTGGTAGGAGCCCCAGCTCCCAGTCGGGTTGTGCTGCCTCCCACCGTGTTCGCATCCTCGAGGAGGCTGCTCCCTCCCCCTGGGCCAGCACGGAGTCCAGCAGTGGGTAGGGGGGCTGGCAGGTGCCGCCACTGGCTCCCCCAGGAGGTCATGCCCCCTCCTGGCTACTGCCTTAATCATTTTTCTTTCCTTCTTGTTTTCTTGATAAACCTTTTACAGTTAAGATAACGAAGGCGTGACTTTTATTTGGATCTGGGAGGGGATGAGAGTGGGGGAAGGATAAAACCCTACTGTTCCTGAGAGCTGTTGGACCAGATTCTGGAATCATGATGGGTGCAAAATCTACCCTAGAACCTCAAAAGTTGTGGGGAGGGCTGTATGGGTGGGAAGTGCCAGGTGGGGTGCCAGAGGGGCCATGGATCCCAGCCGGATGTGCACCCTCCCAGGCCCCACTTCTCATCTCAGAAGGGCTGAGTCCTGCCAGGGGTCTCGCCGTGCTTCTCCATCGTGCAGGCAGAGGGTCGCGTGAGGATGACAGGAGGTCACGTCTCAGGACCGTCTAATCCACAGGGGGTTCCTCTCCCCAGGCAGGCCGGTCCCAGCCATGCCCCAGGAAAGGTCTGTTCCGGGAGAGGTGGGGCTTCCCAGAGACTGTGTCCTTCCCCAAGCAACAGGGTGCCCGTCCCTGTAGTAGCTTCCGTGCTGGAACTGAGGAGGACCCCCAGCCATGCCCGGTCAGGAGCACAGGAATCTGTCCACGCACAGGGACGAGGAGCGCTGGTGCGACCCATGGTTCTCCCGCTGGCAGTGGGGACTTGGGGGAGCCCCGTAGGCCGGGGCCCGGGGAGCTCGGTGCAGTGGGGAGGGGGCACAGGGTGCAGACCCAGTGACAAGGGCGTAGCAAAGGCTCCTCGTTCAGGGAAGTGTGTCCTCAGAGACACTCTGGGATGGGCCTCTGGCCCTGGGTCAAAATTAGGTCAGATTGGGACTTTCTGTGGAATTTTCCCCTCCCTCTTCCCTGCCCTCCTTCCTTCATTTTCCAACACATCCAAAGGCCTTCCCACCCTTAACTAACTCTTCCCAACTTTGCCCTCTAGATGGCCTTTAGCAGAGGGCACCCCAGCCACAGGGATGGTGGGAGGCTCTTCCCAAGGCCTGTCTGGGCAGGGGTGGGGGGGACGCCCCTCTTGACCCGCAGTGCCTGGAAAGTCCCGTCTGTGCCTCCTTCCTGCCCTGGGAGAATTACTGCCTTCTTGCATCCCTTCTTTGAGAGGGGGTCCCTTCCCATGCTTCCCATCCTCAGGGTGAGGGAATGGGTCTGAATTTTCTCAGGAGGGACTTGGGCCTAGGAGAAAAGTCAGAATGTGGAGTCTTGGGCCAGGCCCAGCCTGCCCCGGGTATCCTGAGGTCTCTAGGCCAGGACAGGTGTGGGTGTGGTGGGAAGTGAGGATGTCCCAGCCCCTCTCTCTGGTCTCTCTCTGTCTCTCTGCTGACTGGGATGTTGGGAGAAGCTGAATTCAGGCTGGGCTGGCTAGAGGCCCTTCCAGCAGGGGACTAGGGCCTGGTAGCAGGGTTGGGGGTGTCCTGGTGGTGGCAGGACCTGCTGGCTGGCCTCAGTCACATGTCAGGCAGATGTTCCAGCCTGAGCTGGGCCCAGCTGCCTCTAGTCCCCTCCCTCACATTGGTACGGGGAGGCAGGGACGGAAAACAAGGCCTCTCTTTCTGCGCTGGGCAGCTCTCAGGACCTGGGGGCGGGGGTGGGGTCCCTTGATCCTCATCTTGGCCAAGCCCGGGAGAGGAGTCTTCTTTGTGGGCATTTGTGGGGGTTGGGGATGGAGGTGGCCCTCGGTTCTGTATCCTGTCACCTCCTGGATATAGGAGGGCCATCTGTGAACCACTGTGCCATGGCCATGCCGCAGTTGGAGCAGAGCCGGGCCTGGGGGAGATAGGTGCCTCAGAGTGGCACCACCCCCTGCACTGTGGCATAGCCACACAGTCATCCACATGTCCACATGGTCAGAGACAGAGTTACCCAACCGAAAACAGTCACAGAGCCTCACAACTTGCACACGGGAACACAGGCCATGCCTGGCCGTACATGCACATGTGCATGGTCATGTGCCAGCATAGTTGCACTCCCAGGCACAATGATACACATTTTCACATCCACAGCCACATGCACACTCAGCCACTTCTCACACACTGTTCATTCACTCTGTCAGTCTCAGTCATGTCATGATTCACACCCATACACAGTCCTGTGCACCGAGTATTACCCTCACACAGTGACACACACACAGACACATATGGCCACCAAGTCCTACATGCACATAACAGAGGTGTGACACACATGGAACTGTGCCTGGACTGAACCTGCACCACCTCCTGGGGGCGCCAGCCATGATTATCCACCATCCGACAAGTTCAATTCCTCATTGCACAGACAGGGAACTTGAGGTCTAGTGAGGGGTGGCAGCCGGCTGTGTCACCTAGTAGGCCTGGGGGATGCTGAGGCCACAGCGCAGCTCCTATAGCTCCTATAGTGGCTCGGCCTTGCCTACCACTGGGCGAGTCCCCAGAGCCAGGCAGCCTCAGAAGCTCCCTGGCTGAACCCACCCAACAAAGCTCCAGGCATCTCCCAACTCTCAGGCCAGAGCTGAGGCTTCAGCGTCCACGTGAGCAGCTGCCGGGATGCAGCAGGCAGGGCCTGGGCCTGGGCCTGGGCGGGAGGAGCATTCCTGCTCCGTCTCCTCCCCAAGCATGCAAGGACGGGCTGCCCTGCCTGCTTGCCTGCTGACTCAGACCTCCGGGAGCCAAGCCTGCCCTGCGCTCCACCCACCCAACCTGCTTCCTCACCAGTTCGGCTCCAGCATCTCTCTCCCTCTGGGCGGCAGAAGGAAATGGTGAGCCTGGCAAAAAGACCATGCAGCAAAATAAAAGTTCACTTCCCCCAGACGCTCAGAAGGGCTGTCTGTAAAACCCGGCTCTGGGGTTCTCAACATACTTTAACACAAACCTTTTTTCCCTTTGGTTTTGTTTTGTTAGTCCAACCCTAGCCTAGTCCAGGCTGTTTAAAGAGCAGTGCCTCACACAGCTGCAGCTGCCTGGGTCTGCCCAGCAGCCAGGTAGGCGTCATTCTTCCATTTCCCAGAGGGAGAGACCGGGACATGGCCGGAGGAGGATGGGACTGGCCTGGGATCGCGCAGTGAGGCCAGAGCTGTGCTCTCCCCAGCTCTCTGGCTTCATTACTTAGTCACCTTGATTAACTCATTTCGGTCAGTCGAGAGGAAGAGGGAGTGGCAGGTCTCTGCTCCAGAGTGCGAGAGGACGGGAGGCTGCCAGCCCCAAGGGCTGAAATGTGAGAAGGTTTGAGGGTAGGGTGAGTCCCGTAGCCCCCCCAAGAGGCTGATGATGGTGTGGCATTGGGGCACCTGCGGTGACTCAGGATCTCTGTTTACAAACATGTACGAGGAACATCACTTTTCTGTAACTGACCTGAATTTCTCTTTCGTTTTCTCATTCTAACACATGGTAGAAAAGTAACCTCAAACCAAGTCTGCGGCCCCTCCTTTCCACAGGGCGCATGTAGGTTTTGGGAGCGGCACGCCTGAAGACCGCTGTCAGGCCCCTGGCATGCTGAATTCTCCAGGCTGAATCCCATATGAAAATTTGCCTGCATCCCACATTAAAGATCGTTTATATATACCTATTTGAGTTGGGTTCAGTTTATAACTTGATCATGTCTAGTCCTGTAGATTATTCAAACTTTAATCATTTTCTTCTGGCGTTGGGATACATTTTTTTTTTCTTTTCTTTTCCTGGCTGCATGGGTTCTTGCAGAGCTCTGGGGTCCTGGGTTAGCATCAGACCCTCTGGCCACCTTCCCCACCCCACGTTCCCACCACCTGCCCCCTTGGTCCCCATCCTGTGGCCTCTCTGGGTCTGGCCCTTCCTCTGTCTGGGTGCTCAGGATCCCCTCAGTTACCCCTGTACCTTGTAGGCCCCAGAAACCTCAGAGGGTTGGCAGAGGCCCTTTTATGTGGTCTGTGCCCCACTCTGGGGCTCATGCTCATCCCATAGCTCCTAACACATGCTCAGGCAGGAGTTCTGGGGGGCTTCTCAGGTACCTTGTGTGACCTTGAGTCTTCCAAGGCCAGGCTGTCTCTTTGGGGCTCTTCCGGGAAGGGGTCCCAGTCCCCACTACTCTGGGGTCTCCCAGCCTCTGGGGCTGCTACCCTCCCCCAGTGTAGACATCTACCATCCGTGTATAGACTGGGAAACGGGGACCAGCAAGGGAGGTGCTGCCAGCCAGTGTGAGATGGGGCCCAGGCCTGAGCTTCCTGTGTTGGGTGGCCAATGACTGATGCCTGATGTAGGAGTTGGAGGCTGGCTGGAGCCTGGAGGCCCCTGGAGCCTCCTTTGGACTGACCTGATCCCCCTTGTTGCCATTTTAGCAGGAGTGCTCTCTGGGGGGGGGGGGATGAGCCTCCACTAGACAGCCCTTCTGTCCCCCAGATAGCAACACCCCCTGCAGGTAACCCAAGATGTCTACACAGCTGTGTCTCAGGTCTGCCGTGAGCATGTGTGTGCAGACTGTGGTGTGCACAAGTCGGTGGCTGTTAGTGAGTGTATCTGCTGTGCCTGTGCAGTCCTGGGAAGGCGTGTGCACGTGCACGTGTGTGTTGCTGCGGCCGCTGGTGGTTTAATGCGTGCTTCCTCCCTGAGGTCATCTCCCATACCCCAGGACCCAGGGACTTGCTCTAGGGAGTATTTCCCTCTTTCTCAGCAAGGCATGTGGTGCGAAAGGGTGAGAAGGGTGTATGTACCAGTCCTTGCTCAGCCCCTTGGAGGGCTAGGTTCAAGGCCAGGGTGGCCCGGAGAACCTCTCCCTGTCCCTTGGTGAGCAGGAGGCGGTGCCATCCCAGCCCACCCAGCAGCAGCGTCCTCTTTCCCTGGCACTGAAGCCCAGGCCAGTCAAGCTGACATCAGCTGGGTATGTATGTGTGAATGTGGGGTATGTGCGTATGGAGGGTGGTGGTATCCCACCCTGGCTGACCCCTAAGGCTTCTCAGGTGATCCTTGGTAGTTGGGCAACCGAGGCCACTCAAACTGGGGACAGAGTTCTGGCCCGGGGGCTCAGCAGCCCCATTCCCCCTCCCCAAGTTCTGCACCTTGGGGGCTGGCCCTGGAAGGTGGGCAGTGTGGAAGAACATGCTCCCAACGCTTCCAGGGCCAAGTTCGCTTCTGGGGGCTGCTCCCTATCGGGCCAGGGGCTCCCCAGGGACCTCGCAGCCTGATGCCCAGAGCCCCTGTCTGCTCCAGGTCGCCGGTCTCCTCATATCTCTGGTTCCGCATCATCTTTCCCTCATCCTCATGCTCTGCCTCGAGCTCAGCACTCCCTGTTCTTCAGGGCCCAGCCCAGGCTTCCTCCTCCAGGAAGGCCTTGTTCTCTGGCCCTCCCGCCCTGTTCTCCTTTGCCTGGGCAGCTCCGGTGGGGCTCCTTTATCTTGCTGGGGGGGGGACAGTCCTCTGAATCAGTGGGGTGGGGCTGTGTGCTTATACCGAGCACCTGACCCCTTGCTGCACACTCACTCTCCCTGCTGAAGCCCAGAAAAGGAGAGTGCCTCCGTGTCCCTCTTTTCTAGAAGGGGGGCTGCATGCATTTGGCCTTCTAGGAGGACTGAGCATTTGTTTAGTGCTCATTATGTGTCAGGCACTGGGACAGCTGTAATAAATTAGAGTAATAATAATAATGTCCATTCTGAACATTCGTTAAGCTCCTAAATATGCCAGGTCCATATGCTAGGCAGTTCAAAAATAATCACCACTGTAATAGCACTAGTAATAATGGTCAACATTTATTCACCATTTGCTATGTGCCTGGTGCTGTTCTAAGAGCTTTGTCACAACACTGACCCTTTGAAGAGAAGCCTTGGTCAGATGCACTGTTTTGATAGGTCCTAACTTGGGGATGGGGCGGGGCCTCTGGCTGGCCCATGGACAGGAGGTGGCAGAAGCAGACAGCAAGACCCAAGGCCTGGCTCCAAACTCTCTGGGGTTACTTATACCACCCTGAGGTAGAACAGGTGGGTGGACTTAGACAAGTTCACTGGGCAGATGCAGTCACCACCTCTGCCCTCCCTCAGTTTGTGGGCTCTAGTCCCAAACTTTGAGGTTCTCTGGGTAGATCATGGGACAGAGGGGCTAAGATCCTGGGGCCTGGAGCCTTTCTGGGGTCCGTGGACCCTGCTGCAGCCTGTCCAGGCACCACACCACAAGGCAATCTTTTAGCAGGGCTGACTCAGAAGGGCCCTTCCGCCCTGACTCACTGCCTTCCAGGAGTGCCCAGGCTCTGCCAGCCCTTCCACCTGCCTGATTGCTCAATAGCCCTTAGAACAGACTCCCCTTCCCCCAGCAAGACCCACTGGGCTTCCCCTGCCGCTCTCTGGTTCTTGGGGGGGGGGTGCCCATGTGTGGCCTCCTTGGCCCACCCACAGTCCCCCTGGTGCTTCTTGAGGTTCCAGGAATTCCACTTCTGAGAATGCATCCTTGGCATCTGGAGGGTTTTGGGTCTCCACGAAGTGTGCTGTGTGATTGTGGTGAAGCACTCCTCTAAGACTGGGACTCAGAGACCCCCAGCTGAGTGCACAGCTCTGCTCTGCTCCTTGCCTCCCCTGCAGGGCTTGGACCAGGTGGCCCCGGGGCCAGTGGAGCCTGAGGGTTCTGAGGAGGGGCCACAGTGGCAGCAGGCTGAGTGTGAGGGATTCTAGATTGTCAGTGTTTCCTGCCACATTTAATCAACTTTGATTCTATCTGTGGTGAGCTCCCACGTGTAATTTGGTAAAAATGTTCTGCCCATGGGGTTCTGAGCAGATGGGCGCCAGGTGTGGGTGGGAGGGAGTCATGTGGGAGTCTGGAGGGAGAGAGGAGTGAGTTTGGAAGAGTCTGGAAGGGGTAGATTAAGCCTGCTCCTTAGAAATTTAGGGCCTGGGGCCAGGTCTGCTTGGGCTCTGGGAGGAATTTGGGAACCAGAGCAAAGGTCAGGAGCCTACCTAACACCCCTGGGGATGAGGGAAGCTGGGGAACCAGAGTGGGTACCCAGGAAAGCGTGTCTGGGTGGGATTGGTGCTTAGGGACCTCTTGGCCTGTGGAAGGGGTGGGACTGTGTTCTGGCAATGCCATAGTCCCCCTTATCTGCAGGGGCTACATTCCAAGATCCTCAGTAGGTGCCTGAAACCGTTGGTAGTACTGAACTCTATAAAGACTGTGTCTTATCCTATACATACAGACCTATGATAAAGGTTAACTTATAAATTAGACACAGTAAGAGATTAACAGCAATAACTAATAACTAATAATAATGAAGGACAATTATAAGAATATACTGTAATAAAAGGTTTGTGAACATAGTCTTCCTCAAAATGACTTACTGCACTGTACTTACCCTTCTTGTGGGGCCGGGAGATGTTACCATGCCTGCATGATGAGATGAAACGAGCAGAGTGACGCGGGCATTGTGGGCAGTGTTAGGCGGCTGCTAATCTGGAAATACGTTAGAAGGACCATCATCTGCTTCCAGATTGCTCTGGACTGTGGGTGACTGAAACTGGGGCAAGTTTAACCATGGGTAGCGGGGACAACTGTAAATGTTTACCGAACATCTACTATGTACATGGCCCTGGTTCAGTCTGGACTGTGCCCTGATGGCACACACAGCATTGAACTGTGTTTACGACAAGGGATGGAGGGCTGGGGCCTTCACTTATACTGGGGCCCTCAGCAACCTGGGAGGGGAGGGGAGTTGGGGACCTCAAAGGCACTTCTAGCATCAGGGCAGCAGACAGGCTGGGTGCCACGGCCAGCATTTACCCAAGGGAAGGTTAGGTGACAGCCTTGGGCCACCTCTCTTGCCACACCCTCTGCAGGACAGGATGGAGAGCTCTGGGAGGCCCATCCCCTCCTTCCTGACCCTTCCCCCTCCGCTGGCTGCTCATACACTGACTGCTGGTGACCTTGGCCGGATACCTCCCTTTGTCCCTCCCTCTGCAGGCAGGAATCCAGACAGGTGGGGAGAAGATCGGGAGGCAGGGACTAGCTGGACTGCAGAAGGCTGGGTGGTAGGGGACTGCTGCCCTGCCCAGGGGCCTGTCTTTGGGAGGTGAGGGTGGGGGTGGGCTACTTCCCGTGCCCCGCACACTGTATCACACCCAGCTACTGGCCTCGCCCTCCGATCTTTCTTCTGGTGCTCACTGGAGACCCTTAAAACTGGAACCCCGTATCAGAACCCTGTCCCCACAAATTTGTGTGGAATATAGGAACTTCAAAGTAGTGTGAGGAAGACAAGCCCCCGGGGCTTTGTGGTCTGGCCCCCTCCTGGCCCTGCCGTCCACAGTGTGTCTTACCCTGGTTCCTGCTTCTCTGCTCAGTTTCTCCAATTAAAGTTTGAGCGGAAAGGCTTAAATCGGTGTGTCTTACACTTCACTGTCTGGCTGTACTCCGATCACCTGGAGCCCTGTTAAAGTGCAGAGTCTGATTCACCAGATCCGAGCAGTGGGGAGGCTGGGGCAGGGCGGGGAGGTGCGAGATCGCTCATTTCCAGTGAGCTCACAGCGCTGCAGCCCACAGGCCCCACTCTGAGCCACAAGACTTAGGCAGGCCGTCTAATTTGGGCCCTCAGGAACCAGAGGCTGGGCCACTTGAGCCCTTCGCGACCTCACAAGGCATCAGAAGGCAGCTTGGGATTAGCTCCAAGCTCTGGGCTTGCAGCCAGCAGTTCCCAGGTTGGGGGAGGCAGGAAAGTTCCTCTAGTCCCCAGCTTAGGCTGGGTGTTCCGGTAGAAAAATTCCTTCTTGGCTACTGGTTGATTTAAGGGTTGCTTCTGTCTTCAGGGGCCCCTAGGACATCTGAAATGTGAAGGAACATAGCACAACCCACCTGTTATCCTGGTGGTTACGGGGGCCCTCGGCAGAGTTGGCACCCTTTGTGAGGAAAGCAGAAAGCAGCTGCCACTTAATGCTGTGCCTTATTGCACTGAGAATGGGAATGTGACCAGAGGTGGCTGGGCATCTCAGCGTTGGCAGCCACGTGGCTTCCCCTTCCGTGGAAAGGCCCAATGGTCTAAGAAGACAAGGAGGCAGACAGCCAGCTGCCCTCCCACGCTGGGCTTCCCCCCATCAGCCAGCTCACGCCGCTGGGTCAGGGCACACACTGTGGTGTGGCGGTGACTCGCTGGCACGCCTGGGGCTCTTCAGGAAGGGCTGGGTGGATTCCTGTCTGCATCGCCCACAGTGCTTCCGGCACACAGTGCCCTTGCCAGGGCATGACTAACCCTGGTGGCGACTACACAGGCATTGGGCATCATGGGACTGTGAGAGGACCTGGGGTAGGATGGGGGCTGTGGAGAGAGGGGCCAAGCAGGTCGGCTTCCCGTCCCAGCTCCACCCACTGGCCAGGGCTGCCTCACGGTCGAGCCCGGAATGGGAGACCAAGCAGAGAACTCTGAGGCCGCCCAGGCACCTCCATCCCTTTAAGATCCAGAATGTTCGGGGCCCAGAGGAAGATGCTAGCACCCATGGCAGTTCCCATTGCTTAGGAGAGGTAGTGGCTGGGGAGGGGGCAGCCATTTCTCTTGCTTCCTATTAGAGGAGGATGGTTCCAACTCTGTGGGTTCCACAGCTGCCGTAGCAACTCCACTTAAAGGGCCAGCTCCTAGAAGGGGAAGAGGGCTCTAAGGGAGCCCCTTCTTTAGTCCCTAGGGGGCTGAATGATTTAGGGTGGTGGACAGAACCAGCAAGCTGGGGACCTGAGGTCTGCACCCTTCTGGCACGCCTTCCTCTGCTTCCTGCACCCCCTCCACCATCACCCCTCCCACTGTGGGTTCACTTTTCAGCTCTGTTGATTTCAGCTTGGTCTCTGGATGGGTGAGGCACCCTGGCCCTTGGCTCAACGTGGCCAGCTAGCTATTGGGACTGTGCAAGGGCCACAGGTGAGAAGCACTTATCGCTGAAGTTTGTGTGTGTGCTCCTGTATATATGTGTATGTGTGTATTATGTTGGCACGTATTGACGTCTGAAGAGTTGTGTGCCTGAAGGTCCACAGCTGTGTGCACAAGTGCACATCGAGTGTGTATGTGTGAAGATGGTCAGAGGCTCCTGGACATTCTGTGACACTTGTACATAGATTAGGTCCTATCTTGAGTGCCTGGGGGGATCTGGCTCCTTAAAGGAAGAGGATGAGTTATTTTGTAAAGTGGATAGCAATCCGCTTAAACTTTGCATACATATCTGAAATTTGCAAAGGGTTTGTTTACATAAATAGAGGCCCCACATTTAGAATGGCTTGTATGTTTGTTGTGCCTTTGGTGAAAGATCCTCTTCCCAGGTCCTGGCAGAGCTGCTGGCACAATGCCCTGGGTGCCAGTCCACTGTTCAGCGCAGGCTTAGAGAAGCCAGAGCAGTATCAGCCTGTGCCAGCTCACTGGGGGCAGGGGAGGCCAGCCGAGTGAACAGAGAGGGTGTCGTCAGTGGTCAGTCCACTGGGAGAAATCAGAGATGAGGCCAGATCCTGCCTGGCAGGTCTGCCACCCTTGTCTCAGGTTACACTCTTAGGGAAACTGGTTGCCCTGGGTGGAGACTGGCCCCAGATTTTAGGGCCCTGAGGATCCAGCCCTGAGCTCCTGGGAGAGCTGGGGTAGAGTGTGGGTTTGGCACATAGACACCCTGGGCAGGGCCCCTGTGTGAGGCTGGCCTGTGGGCTTCCAGAAGGAAGGAAGTGGACCAGAATCGTGAGCTCCAGGTGGGGAGGAAATCTCCTGGGGGGTCTCCACCTGGGGGCTCTGGCCACCCTCCTCCAGGGAGGCCTCTCAGTGTGGCAGGAGGGCTGGCTGGCTGGGCCTAGGGGCCTAGGCCCCTCTACTTCTGCCTCTGGACAACACTGACCCTTAACCTCAGCTTCCTCTGGACCCTCCGAGGGCCTCTCAGCAGTGAGATAGCAGGACGCAGGGTGTCCTGCCTGAAACTCCTGAGAGTGTGGGAGGATCTGGGAAGCTGGAGGCGGTGATGCGAAGAGCATCCCAGGGGGCAGAGGCAGCTGGCGGGGAGGGGGGAGTCTCCTGTTGCCCTAGTTCCTGGTTTAGATGTTATACATGTTGAGGCACAAGGAAGAGGCGACTCTCGCCCTCAAATGTGGGTCAGCTGCCAAGTGCTGGCTGGGGCTCTCCCCGTGCAAGATGCTGTGCTCAGGCCTCAGGCTCCCACTCCACCTGCCCCAGAGTGCGGGCGCTACTTACGCGTCCTTTCTTCTGAGGACTTCAACCTAATCCCAGGGCCTGGGTATTGCCTGGAGCCCAGAATCTATCTCCTCCAACCTTGGGAGGCCCTCAAATGGGAAAGCGCCAGAAGGTGGTGGTTCCTCAGCAGCTCGTAGAAGGCCCTCTGGAAACCCTGTGTCTCAAATCCATCCCTAACCAGGTGACAGCCTCTCAGGTCACGTACAGAGACAGCTGGCTTTTTAGCATCCGTGCTGCTTACTCAGCCTTTGAGCAGGAGCGGCCTTGGTTGTCTTGATGAAGAGTGGGGGCCAGAGGGGATCTTCCTTGTGGGAACCCCCAGGGAGCTGAGGACGCATCTGTGGTGGCTCCCCTCTGCCTCCCCCGTAGCACATGGTCCAAGCCTTGGGATCCTCCAGTTCCCCTCATTCTCCTTACTTCTCTGACATTTAGGGAGATGTCTGGGGAGGAACCGGGCTATGGAAGCCAAAACTCAGGCTAAGAAATTTAGGGCTGCGACACATTTTTCTTTAAGCTCCTGGGAGAGGGCCTAGCCTATCTCCACTATAAAAGGATTTGGCCCACCTGCCCACACAGGTGAGGGTACAGGAGATTTAAATGTCTCCAGAAGGTGGAAAGTCAGGGTTCAGGTGGCCTCATCCACCCTGCCAGCTGAGGCCTGGTGGGATGGCAGGGGAGTGCTGGCTGGTGTGGATAAGTGCCCAGTACATGGTCAGACAAACAACACACAGATGTCCAGAACCTCCAAAGCACCATTTATCCAGGCCCCATGGAGTCGAGTGTCCCCAACTGCCTACCCGCTAGCCCTTGGTGGAGCAGAGACGCCACAGTGGCCCTTGGCCTGGTACCCTGCATGCTCCCTGGACCAGCCCACACTGGGGCCACAGACCCATGCTTGCCGGGACCTCGGCCCATCAAAGTGGGGCCCTGGGAATGAGCTGAGCCGGCCTCCGAACTTCTTCCAGCCCCCCACACCCTCAGGCGGCCCGTCGGTCTGGGTCTAGCTCGACCCTGGGCTAAGCTTCCTTGAAATCTCCCTTAAATAAACCCATCCCCAGAGCGACCCACCCACCTTGCACCCTGCATATATTGTTCTACTGGCTTGCGTCTTCTTGAGAATGGAGAGGCTCTCTCCTGTCCTCTGCTCCAGGGAATACCATCTCCCTAAAACACTAGGGCAAAGTTTTCCTCTCAACCCTGCGGCAGAGACAAGGGGAGGCCTGGCCTGGCGCGGAAAGGCTAGGATTCCCTGTGTCCCTCCTTGCCTTCCTCCTCACCCTCTTAGCAGCTTGGGTCAAGCGTGATTCCCCCAAGGTCACAGACCCAGGACACAGAGCCCTGACCCATCTGGGAGGCCGCTCTGGTTTTGATACCCCAGTAGCTCCAGGGCAGGGGGCCTGACTCCGGGTCTGTCTCCGGCCTTGGGCCTCTTGCAGTTCTCCAGGCATGGAGTGAACTGGGGACACTCCAGCTCTTGACTCCACTTGGGGCTGGACTCCTGGGACTACCTCCCAGCACCCTCTGACCCTGATAACCCCAGGTCTCTCCGGCTCTGGGGACATGCAAACAGCACCAGGGCTGGGACAGTGGTGCTGGGGCCTAAGCAAGCCTGGCTCTGGCCTGATCAGTGACTGGGCCCAGGCCGGGCCTCACACCCAGTACTGGCCATTCTTGAGGGCAGGGTTGGATGTCCGGCAGAACTGCAGCAGCTCTGGGTCTGGTTGGCCCCCCGATGGGGGCCCCTGGCCAGGCATGGCTGTGAGCGGGATGGCCTGGCCCGGCTCTACCTTGCGGAAGGTCTCCGTGTCACTGGCCAGGCCGTTGCGAGGCTTGGCGGTCAGCACCTGGACGTTGTGCTTGCCTGTCTTGTTGCGTTTTCGGAGGTAGAAGAGCAGGGGCAAGATGAGCCCCAGGAGCAATAGGACGAGGCAAATGGGAATGATGACGCTGAACATGTTGGCCTCGAGGAAGCCCAGGAAGCCTCCCCTGGCCACAGCGGGCGCGAGGCTGGAGGTCGCCGGGCCAGGCTCACCTGTGGGCGGGCCACCGTCCGGCTTGGCTGCTTCTGTCGGGGAGGCCGCAGGGAGACTGAGCAGGTCAACACTGTAGAGCCGGGCCGCATTGTAAGGCTCGGTGGCAAAGTCCAGTGAGGCCACAGCAGGCGGGACACCGGGTGCCCAAAGCTCCAGAGTGAGACTGTCGCCTAAGGGGCCCCGGGACATACCCTCTGGACTGCCCACCTCCAGCGCCAGCCTTCCATCCTCAAGGTCCTGCTGGGTGAACTGCTCCACAAGCTGGCTGCCCCTGGGCTCTGTCCTGGACCGGGCCACACAGACTACCCGGCCATGCCGGGGTCCCGCCAGGAGCCGGAAACGGGGCACACCGCCTGTGTGGTTGGCCAGCTCACCTGCATCTAGGATGGTGGAGTCCAGGCGCAGGGTGGCACCCTGGGGCCATGGCCCATGAGCCCACACATGCAGCAGAGCCCTCACAGTCACGTTCACTGTGGCTGATGCGTTGGCGCCCCTGGCCAGTGCCAGGATGCTGAAGTGGTCGTGAGAGGATGAGAAGTCGGTGAAAGTAAAGACCACCTCGCCCCGGTCTACCTGGAGCTGGCTGAAGGCCGTGGCAGGCTGCCCGCCCGCCAGGAGCCGCCCGTACCGGGGCCCTCGGGTGAGGTGGTATGCTGCGTCTGGCTCCTCCTGATCCGAGACCACCTGCAGCTGTCGCCGGCTCAGCGGGGATCGCCCTGAAGCTTGGGGCACCTCGAGGGGTGCCTGCAGTTGCACCTCGATGGCCGACGGCAAGACATCCACAGTCAGGGCCACGGGCAGGGGTGGGCTGGCCCCATCAGACACACTCAGCTGGAAGATGCCCGCCACGCTGCTCCCATTGGCCACGAAGGCCAGCCGCCCTGCATCCACGTCGGCCTGTGTGAAGTGGGTCACGGGCCCTGGGCTGGCCCCCACCAGGCTGAGGAAGCCATTGTGGGGTGCCCGCTGCACCTCGTACTTGATCTCCTCAGGAGCTGAGTCCGGGTCCACTACACTCAGCTGGGCCCGGGAGATGGGGGTGCGGGATCCCCGGGTGGGCCGGAGAGGGAGGGAGGCCTGCGGCCGGGGTGGCCGCTCGTTCACGTCCTGCACTGTGATGGCGAAGGCCTCTGCGGTTCGGGGCCCTTCCACAGACACCCCCGCCGGCCCCTGGAGGTGGGCACGGAAACGGAAGCCATCCTGCTGGGTGCCCCCCCCTCCGTGGGCATATACCAGCTGCCCTGCGGCCAGTTGGGACTGCAGGAAGTGGGGCTGCCCGGCGTGGAGGGGCTCCTGGGATACCAACAGCTGGCCTCGGGTGGGGAACTGTGTGATCTGGAAGAGCACGTCGTGTTCTGGGCGCTGGGGTGATGGAACACTGGCCAGGAAGTTGGAGGCGTCCAGGGCAGCCTTGGTGATCTCAGCCCTCTGGCCTTCGGGGACCCACAGACCTGAGGTTGGGACACAGGCAGTGAAGGTCCCGCCCAGGAGGGAAGACTCAGATCCTCAGACCAGGGCCTCCAGGCAGGTCCATGCCTCTCCCACAGGGCAGAGCAGGTACCCCAGGAGGGCAAGCACCATGTCTCCTTTCTGACTTGAAAGCCTCCCCACCCACCCACCCTTCTTATGACTTCCCGGGTCCTGGGAAATGGGAGCTGCTGCCCCTGGCTCGTATTGCCCCCTCTCTGGCCCTCCTAGTATCCCTCCCACTTTACCAGCCCATCATGCTATTCACCTTTGTTCCTCCAGAGACGGCTGGGGCGCTGGGGACAGGCAGCCTCGAAAGACACAGCCACAGTGAGGACGGCAGCCACCTCGGGGGAAGGGGGTGAGGACAACCGGAGCTCCAGGGCATCACGGGCCTCCCAGAAGGGCTCAGCGGGCATCTCATGCTCATACAGAACATTACCAGCATACACCTGCGGGGAGACCCAATGTTGGGACTGGAGGCAGACCCAGCCTGCGGCACCCAGAAGCCCCTTGTGGGTTGGCACTGGCCCCGGGCACTGGCCTCCCGGGTAAGCTCTGTGTCCAGCTTCACTCTAGGGTCTCCTGGCTGTGCCTTCTCTGTCTGTAACCCCTGCTCCCCCTCACTAACTGAGCGGGTGACTGTTAGACAGTCACACAGCGGTGAAGAGCCAGGCTCCCCAGCCAGATCCCTCCGTCAAACCTGAGCTCTGCCGCCTTGGGCGAATCTCGTCTCTGTGGGGAAAGCAATATTCTCTCCACAGTGGGTCCTTCCTCTCTGGCACTGGGTTCCTGCCCCTCTTCCCTACTGAAGACACCACTTCTACCATCTCCCTTAGTTCTCCTATGGTGTCAAATTTCCCCCCAAGATGGATTGTTCCTGTCATTATGCAACCATGCTGTTCTTTCTTCCGTCTTGCAGACAAAACTCTTGATTTCAATTTTTTCCAACATTTGTCTCCCACTTTTGCTCTTCTTTGCAGCAAAACTGCAAAAAGAATAGGATATGCTCTCCCCCAATGTGGTCCTGCGCACATTCCACCCAGACCTTTGCTCCTGTCCTTGCCAAGGGCTCCGATGGCCTCCGTATTGTTGGACCGGGTGTCGGTTCCTAGGCCTCACATTACTCACCTGCTCAGCAGCTCTTCATTGAGCATTCTGTCCTTCCTCTAACACACCCGTTGGTTTCCGGGGTGCCGCACTGTCTTCTCCCTCCTACCTCACTACCACTCCTTCACAGACCAGGGGCAGATCCAGCCGGCGGCACCTCCCCCTCTTCTCAGTGTCTGTGGCTTGGCCTGGAGACCTCTTCTCTATTTACAGGCCCTCCCCACGGGCTCTTGCTTCATCTCCAACGCTGGCTGTGCGAATGGCCCCAATCGATCGTATCTCTAGCCCACACTGCTCCCCCCTGAACTCCAGGCTCATATGCACCTGCTCCTGGGCAGCTCCGTGGGGTGTCTGAGGGTCGCCTCCAATGCGGCATGCCCCTGCACACCCCTAACCTGCCTTGCCTTTTCTAGTCTTCCCGCCCCAGATTATGGCAGCTCTTCCAGTGGCTCAGGCCAAAACCCTGGGCTCTCCCGGACCCCCCTACTTCTGTCACACACCCCCATTTCTGGCCTGGACTGCTGCCATAGCCTTTTGTATCCCCATTTTGGCCCCGCCCCCCTCCTCCTACAGCTGGTTCTTAACACAGAAGCCAGAATAAGACTTTAAAAGTGTAGGTAGGGTTATGTCGCTCTTGCTTAGATGGCTCCTTATTTAACCTCATTGTAACCCTGGTACCCCTGTGACCTCCTACCCCCGCCCCAGAATACTGCGCTCTGGCCACACCTGCTGTCTCCTAGGGCTTGTCTGCACCTTAAGTCCCTGAGGATAGTCTTCCCTTCCATAAAGAAATGTGCATGCTCCCTCCCCCTTGTAGCCCAGACGTGTCCTCTTGGTTTATCTTTTGTTTTCCCCTTTTAGGAGGTGCAGGGAATTGTTTTCCTTTTCGCAGAAAAACAGGAGTTGCGCAATAAGACGGAAACCGGGGTTTAGCTCAGAAGACTCTAGGGGCAGTTGTGTTGTGGTGGATGGGGGAGCACTACCCATTCTAAAAGGGGAGCCATACCTTGTCAGGGCAATCAGCACAGTTCTAAAGGGACAGCAGAGTGTGGTGGGGGTGGTAGTGTCTGCTCCTTAGCTGATTGCCGACAGAGGAACACAGGCCTTCTAAGGAACTCGAAATCAGGGTTGTTTTTTTGTGTGTGTGTGTGAAATTCCCCAAAGGTCATATGTTGACCACTAACTTAAGAATATGAAATGCATCATGCAGACCAAATAAAACATATCTGTTGGCCAGATGTGGCCTCCAAGGACCATCAGCTGTGACCTCTGGCCCAGGCTGGAGGGTGGGCAGGAAGGAAATGGAGACCCCAGGAATCGGGGTAGGAGGCTGGATACCTGGGTACCGGAGCTTCTACGGGGAGAAGTATCTGGTTGCAGTGAGGCGAATCCCAGCAAGGTGGGGAGGGGCCCCTGAGCCTGGGGAGCAAGCAGTGTTCTCTGGTGAAAGAGATCTTGGAACAGCAGTCAGAAGGCATGATTGCGGTTTGCCTCTTATCAGCCATGTGCTCTGAATAAAGTCACCTGACTTCTGTGAGCCTCAGTTTCTTTATCTGAGAAACGGGGACACCCGATCCTTGCCCCACCCAGCTCAGAGTACTGTGGGACAATGGTGCTGTCGGGACACTCCCCAGTCCTGCCCTGCCTCCTTCCCCAAGGGGGGACAGTCTCGGCCATGAAGCCTCTTCCCAGCGTCCTGGGTGGCACTGCCAGCCTGGCTCCCTAGTGGCCATTCAGTCTCATCCTCCATATTGGGGGCCTTGGCGGTCCGGTCCTGTTCCCTCCCCCTTCCTGGGCACCTGATGACAGGCTTCCAGGGACACGGGGCGCACAGCTGCCACAGCCACCAGCCTGCTGAATCTCACTGCGGGGAGGAGGCAGGAAGGGGGCCCTAGCAGAAGCCAGGCCTTCAGGAGAGCAGAGAACCCCGGGCCCAGAGGGTTGAAGCGAGAGGCCTGTGAAACCTTTTCCCACCTTCCTTAAAGCCTTTCCTGATGCCGAAAAACGCCCCAGCCATCCTGCCTCTGCAGAGCTCCCGCACTTAGAAGGGGCACTGCTGTATGTGGTGGCCGCTGGCCCACGGCACAGCTGGCACAGAGCCCTCTGATCCCAGCAGCCTAGCAGTCCGCCTCTTCCCATGGCTGCGAGTTCTGATTTTTTACTGGTGGCCTCTGGTGTGCTCTGAGACTGCTGTGCCCTCAAGCTGCCATCACGGATGGGTGGCAGCTTCACTCGCAGCTCCACCTACTCGGCTGCCTTCTGTCCACACATCTGCTCCCAGGCCCCGCTCTGCTTCATGCTGGCTCCTGACCTAAGCCCCAGGCTGAGCTGCTGTGCTGTCTTCTTTGCAAACTGTGCCCCCTGCACTGCCTCTTACCAGCCACTGGGGTGTACGAGTGTCCCCCCCACAGTGCACACATTGCAGCCCCTGTGGTCCGACTGCAGCCTCCTTCTGGAAGCCAAGCCCCAGGACCTGATCCCTGCTCGGGGCCCCTGCAGCTCTGACCTCCTGCATTCTCCTTCCCTCTGAAACACTAAGCCCCCTTTGCCCTGCCAGCCTGGTGGCTCCCAGAGGGCATGGCGTACAGGGCCAGGAGCATGGTGGGCCCAGGAAGTGTCTGCTGCCAGTGATGCCAGAGCTGATACCCATGTTCACAGGCAGAGTGGGCCACCTGAGGCTGAAGGGAGTCTAAATGGTGGCTGTAGAGACCTGGGCCCTTACCTCGGCTTGAGTGAAGTTCACCAGGGCCTCCCCGGTGCTGCGCTGCTGGGCATGGAACAGCCGGCCGAGCTGGGGGCCCTGCACCACCCGGTAGAGCAGGAGGCGGGGGTCGGTGCCCACGCTGGAGCTGGCTCTCAGGCTCCGGCCACTGAGAGGCTGGACAGACCCTGCCAGAGGGGAAAGGGGCCTGTCAGCCTTGGGCCAGGAGCCAGGGCAAAGCTCCTGCAGGCATGCCTGTGCTGGGCAGACCCACCTGGGCAGACGGTCAGGGTCCGGCTGCCCTCCAGCGAGAGGAGCGGCTGCTTCTGGGCTGTCACGCGGAAGAAGTGTCCCGGGGAAGTGTGGGCACCGTCGGAGAGGCTGAAGTGGAAGCCTCCGTCCAGGGCTCCTGAGGATAGAGGCGGAGTTGGCCCTCACTGGCCCGTGCGGCACGCCATCCTCAGGGCATCCCCGTCTCAGCACCCACCTCTGTGTGAGAACAGCACCAGCCCGCTGTCCAGCTGGGCCTGTGTGAAGCTGTGCACGTCGGTGTCTGGTGCCGTCCGCAGCACGACCCTCCCGTTGTCGGGCCGCTCGATGGTGTAGACCAGGTGCTCAGGTCCCGAGTCGCTGTCTGCGCCCCTGAGGGCCTCTGGAGGGAAGGGCACAGTGGCCCCCTCCCACATCTGGGGACACAGGCCTGTGAGGTTTCTGTCCCTACCAAGCTTACCCACTTGGCTCCTTCCTGCCCCTGGGCCACCACCCGCGAACTGCTGGCGTCGGGTCTGTGCCATTCTGGGCTCCTACACACAAAGGGTCCCCAGCCCCGCTCACCTTCCCCTGCACCCCAGGCCTCCACACCCATGTGTCTCTCCATGTGCCCTAATCCTGCTTACCCTGCAAGGCAAGCTCACGTCCCCCTACTTTAGGAAGCCTGCAGATCTCAACCTTCCCACGTTCTCAACCCCCAAAGTCCCCTAACCCGGACCAACTGCATTGTTTTATCTGCTGTCTCCCTGGGAGGGTGGGGGTCTCCCTTCAGATCCTCCGTCGTCTGGGTAGGGGCTGGGTGCCGAGGGGGATGGTGAGGTGGGCCTGCCCAGGGTGCTTAGCTACAGGCTCTCCTCCCAGGTGCTGGGGGCGGTGGGAGGCAAGTGGGGCTGGAGAAGCTAGCGGCTGGCCCCTGTCCTGCAGCCCTGGGACGAGGCACCGGGTGTGCCCAGTGAAGACAGCGGGGTGAGGGTGCCTGGGTGTGGGAACTTCTCAGAGTGAAGGGGAGCCCCCCTCGGGCCTCCCACCGTCCCTGGGGTCCTGTTACAAGTCCCACTGGGTCAGCAACTTGTGGGTGGTGTTGGGGAGGGGCTCCAGTATCTGGAAAACAGCACTGAGATTCCTGGGCTCCTTGCCCGAGCCCCAGGCTTCCCCAGGCGGAGCTCTGGGAGGAGGGACTCAATGAACGGAGGCGGGGCCTTACCGCTGGCTCTTGGCACAACTCGGGGGACAGCACCACCTACTGGCCAAAATTCCACTAGCGCCTCCTGACTCCGGTTCCAGGGCAGCTCTTAGCCTGTACCCCACCTGCCCGCTGCCATCCCCTACCCGCCCCACGCCATTCCCGTACCCCCAGCCTTTGGGCCGAATTCCCACTCACACACATCCTATACCACCAAAGATGCCCAGTGCTGCATGTCACACAGCCCAAGGCAGCCCTCTTTTGAAGTTTTCCACGACTCCTGCTGACCTGAAGAAGTCAGTATTCAAGGCCCTGCCCATCCACTATCTTGCTACGTGGTCTTGACCAAGCCACACCCTTTCTGTTCCACCACTGACTATTTCTGTGAGTGTGAAGAAGTTCCGTCCCCTGTCAGGGCCTCAACTTCCACCTTTGTCAAATGGGGGCACCTCTGCTCTACAGGGACCTGGGGAGCCAAGCTGTGGGGGTGGAAGTGCGGAGCTTAACCACTCTCCACTTGGGGTCCACCCTTACAGCTTTGGAAGAACGTTCTTCAGGAGCTCTGGTCCTGAGCCATAGATAAAGCCTCCTGCTGACGTGAGTCCCGGGAACAGCAGGCCTAAGTGTGGCCGTTTACAAGGCTGCCTGCTGCGCTGACAAGTGTCCAATAAGAAAGCCTCACACCTGTGTTCTGTTTCCAGTGCAACAACTCTTCTCTCTTCCCAATAACCTAGTGAGGCATGTGGCGGTGTCCTCATTTTAGAGTTGGGGACTGAGGCTCAGACAGGGGAGCTACGGGCCTCTCTCTGGGAGGGGAGGTGGGAGGTGGTCCCCACTGCTGTCACCTGCAGGCCTGTGTTTGTGGTGAGGACAGGGGGTTGGTCATTGACAGGCAGGATGGTGACTGTGAAGACCACGGGATGGCTCTGGCGGTCCATCTCTGAGGCGTTGGCCACGAGGACGAAGCTGTCTGTCAGCGTCTCACTGCCGTCGTGCACATAGTGGATCAGCTGCTGCTCCGCCTGCAGGTAGGCCCAGGGTTGGGGTCAGGCCCCTGCTTGCTCAGACTGCTGGGTCTCGGGCCCAGAGCCTCTCATGCCCTGCCTTTGGGTGGTTGGGGGGAGACTGACTCCTTCCGAGCTGGTTTCTACAGGGGGAAGAGGGGGGCAGTCATTTCTCCCCAAATGAAGGAATGATTAGTGAAGGATATGGGAACAATAATTTCTATTTGCCCAGGGAGGAAGGAATAAGATGAGGTATCTAAAATAGAGGTGCTCCATATATGTGGACTCCCTGCCTCTTCTCTGTACATATCCTCAGACTGGGAGTCCCTAGGGCTCCCCCCACCGCTGCCCTCAGAGCTGGGCTGCACCCCCAGGGCCCCCCTAACTGCTGTACCTCTCTCCAGGAGAAAGTGCTGAGGGTCCCGTCTTGAGGTCCTCCCTCTCTCTGCAGGGCCCCGTGACGGGGTGGCTCTCGGACCTGCAGGTCGAGACCTGGCAGTGTGGGGAAGTAAGGCCCAGCGACGCGGAGCAGTGGAGGGGCCAGGGTGCGGGCACCGCCCTCAGGCACACTGAAGTTCTGAGCCTCTAGCGGGATGGCCGCAGGCAGCACCTCCAGCTCCACATGAATGTCCTCAAGGCGAGCGCCCAGGCCTGAGGCCACATCGAGGGAGAAGGCGTCTTTCCAGGCCTCTGGGTGGGAGTGCAAGTACAGGACCCTGCCTGCAGTCACCGCCTCCTGAGAGAAGTTCTGCACGGGGTCCAAGCTGGGTGGGTCAGCCACCAACTCGCCATGGGACAACATCACCAGGTAGCCGGCACTTGGCGGGGTCCTCACCGAGAACACAATGTCCGCCGGGGGCACTGACTCCTGGGCTGCCTGGTTAATAGAGGTCACAGGTCACAGAGGGGGGGCAGTCATGGTTCCAGAGCAGCCGAACATGCTCAGACCCGTGTGCCGCTCGTTCTCCCGGGGAGTGCCCAGGACACCGGACTCCACTACTTGCTTAGACACATGGACACACCCAGGTTCACACACCCAACAAGCAGACGGCAGGTGGTCAGAGGGACTGCACACTCTCCCCACTCCCACCCCAGTCACACGGTCACAAAGCCTCTGAGACACACACTCCCTCAGAGATGTCCACAACCACACATCCCCAGGTTCAGTGACACACAGAATCTCACCACACAGGTATGTGGACGCGGACTCTCGCATGGATCCCCTGCCCCCCGTTATTGCCAGTCCTCGCCACCAGAGGGCTCCCCACCCTTCTTAGAGGCTCGGGCTCCTACACTAAAGGCCCTGTGGTTGCAGGCGCTGGAACAGCCCAAGGGCTACTCCTCTCTCTGATCCACACTAGTACTACCCCCAAACTCACATTCCTGTGTGTTTGCCTGGAATACTGCCCCCTTTTCCCTGCTATTGAAAGCCCAGAGTCTTGGAAGCCTGGCTCAGCTGCTGCCTTCTTTAGGGCAAAGACTTTCTAACACCAGACATGTTTAGCCAGAGTCTGTCTGAAAGTGCAGACAGTCAGAACCACAAGGGATTCAGAAATTGGCAGCATAGGAGAATACGGCCCAGAGAGATCAAGGGATTGGCCTGAGGTCACAGAGCAAGTCACTGGGCTTGCTGGATGGTGTGTGGTTGCTCAGTGAGGTTCCTAAGTGGACAGCAGCTCTCTCGAGATGCTGAGTCTTGGTCTGGGATCTGGGGAAGGAGCTGGGGACATGCAGGCCTCAGGGGCTGCCAAGCCTGTATCCAAGGCCTGTGGTCTTCAAAGTCTATACAAATGGAAACCCTCCAGAGAACTTGTTATTATTGGAATACAGATTTTCAGGGTCCACTTCAGAGATTCTGTGGTCTGGGTGGGGTCCAGGAATCTGCTGCTTAGCCACAGAATGTACACATGTGCCCATGACATGCGGAGGCACATACGATCACAGGCAGCTGTGTGTATAGCAAACTCCCTAGAAACCCTCAGGCATACAATATGCACAGGTGCAGGTACACACCCAAGGCATGTGCACACACCGGGCCCAGGAGTTACCGCAGGCCCAGCCCCAAGCATCCAGTCACGAATGGCTTGGAGGCTGGCTGGCTGGGCCCCTGCGCCTGGATCATCCCCCTGCTCACCCCCATGTCCTTTACCTCCAGCTGGTCCCTTCTGATCTCGGCTGCCTCGCCCTGGAAGACATAGATCTTCTTGTGCTGGACCAGGTGCAGTGGGGCCAGTGGCCCCTCTATGGCGATGGTCACTTGCAGCATGGCGTCTGTGTGCACAGGTCCTGCCTCTACAGAGAAGGCCACGGTATCACGGGGGCTGAGACTGCCATTGTGGCTGTAGAGAATGTCACCATCCAGCAGATCCTGCTGGGAGAAGGTGGTGGCTGGCTGGCCGGCCCGGAGCAGCTGCCCCCAGTGCGGGCCGGCGGTGACATGGTAGTGGACCTCACCCCCACTACGGATGTCTAGATTGGTGTCGAGGTGGAGCACAGCTGCGTTGATGGTGCTGTGGCCTCCCTGAGGGACCATGAGGCTGGAGCCATTGGCCACATGCAGGTAGGGCTCTGAGGCCTGGACTTCGAGTAGTGCAGTGGCCTGGTGCTGCCCATCAGACACCTGCAGCTGGATCCAGCCACGGTCGGCCCCTGAGTGCACAAACAGGACTCGCCTCCTCCGGAGGTCCTCCTGGGTGAAGCGGTAGACAGGCCGTGTGGGCTCATCCACAGCCACGATGCTGCCAAAAAGGAGGTCCTTGCGCGTCAGCACCAGCTGAGTGTCAGCAAAGCCTGAGTCAGCATCGCTGAAGGCCACGTCATCTGTGGTCAGCAGCCGCTGCCCACCCCGGGCCACGTGGAAGACACGGCTGATGGTCTGCACGGGGGCATGGTCATTCACAGGCTGGATGGACACACGGAAAACGCCCCGTACCTCCTCCCAGGCCATGCCACCGCTGCCCTCACCCTGGCGGGTAGCCACAAATGGAATGTCATCTTCTGTGCTCTCGGAGTCGTCATGCTGGTAGACCAATCGGCCATGAAGCAGGTCATCATTGGTGAAGGATGTCACCATGGTGTCCTTGTCCTGTGCCCCCTGCCACATCAACCTCCCATGGCGGGGCTGCTCCATGACCTCATAGAGGTAGCTGGCACTGTTGAGACTCTTGACGAAGAGGTGGTCAGCAGAGAGGACACCCTTGCCTCCCTCAGGCACTGAGAGGAGCGTGTTGGTAAGGACAGGAGAATCTGGGTCACCGCCGATGTGGATGGGGAAGGTGTAGAGAGGGGAGAAGTGTGGCGGAGCTGTGACACGGAAACGGAAGAGGTCCTCGACTGCCTCTGAGGCACGTGCTGTGGCCCCATAAGTCACCCGACCAGCCTGCAGGTCATCCTGGGTGAAGCCCTGACCGTCTGCTAGTCGTGTGCCCTGTAGCCGAAGATTTCCCTTCCTGGGGGCCTGAACCACCTCATAGTGGAAGGTGGTGGGGCTCAGGTCTGCGTCCTCTAGGGCGGCCTCCAGGTGGGCAGTGGTGAGGGCCTCCTGCTGGGTGTTCTGAGTATGCAGTGGCTCCAGCCGCAGCAGCCACACTGCGGCTCTCTGGACTGTCACTGGAAAGGACAAATTGCTTAGAGTCTCCCGGCCCACCTGCACCTCCAGGGCCAGGTTCTCCACGGTGTCCTCGGCGCGGTGCTGTGGGTCAGTGCTCAGGTACCTCACTCGGCCCTGCTCCACGTCCCACTGCTGGAATGCCTGTGTGGCCCACCACTCAGCACCCTCGGCCCCGCCTGCCCCCTGCTTCTGCAGCTCCCCAAACTGCAGGGCCCCAGTGACTCGGAACTGCACGCTCACATCCTGCCCCACAGCGTTGGTCTCCACGGACAGGTTGGCAGGCGAGACGAAGGCAGCAGAGCCCTGGGCCACGTACAGCCCTGTGTTTCGACGGATCTGAATGGTCGGCCGGATGGCCACCACCTTCAGTGTGGCTGGGGGGCTGGCCTGCAGCCCATCGCTGACCTGGAATGTCAGGTCCTGGGCTGGCCCCCCACGGTGGATGTAGACTAGGTTGCCAGTCTCCAGCTCCTGGCAGGAGAACTCAGTCGCTGGTGCACCAGGCTGGTCTCGGCGCTCCACAGGAAGGCCGGTGTGGGTGCCGAGGAGCTGGAAGGTGAGGCCCTCGCAGGCAGAGTCCGGGTCATAGGCTTGGAAGACCTCAGGCCCCAGCGGCTTCTGGGTGTGCTCCAGGATGACCATGAGGCTTCCGTGCGGGAAGATAATGCGGGGTGGGTCGTTGACAGGGTTTATCTGGATGGGCAGGATGTAAATTTGGCCTCTCTGAAGGCAGGAGGGCAGGGGGCCCCGAGCAGTCACTGACACCTCCAGCACCAGCTGGTCCGAGGAGTCCTCAGAGCCATCGTGGACGAAGCGGACCTTGTGGTTTACCACGTCCAGGAGGGTGAACATTTTCCGTGCCTGGGCGCCCGGGACATCCAGCTCTAGCTCACCGTGGCGGGCTCCGCGGCTCACGCTGAACAGCACCTGGGATTTGCGCAGCTCAGCCTCACCCAGGTCCACTGTGGGCTGAACATGCCGCCACTCAAGCCAGGCTGTGCCACCCTCAGCCACCACCAGTGGGCTGATGGTGAGCAGTTGGGTGAAATTGGCAAAGACAGGAGGCAGCCCTGGCTCAGGCACACAGGGCTCAGGCAGCTCCACGGCTGGCCAAGCCTCAGGAGCCAGGGTGGAGAAGGCCTCGTATGGGCCATAGGCATCCTCCTCATACTCATCTTCCTCAAGCCTGCAGCCGGCCACCATGCTGCGAGTCAGCAAGGCTTCCCGGAGCCCCTGCCGCTTGCCGTTGATGCTGAGGTCCTCCATGCAGCCCAGGAGGGAGACATTGCCAGCCCCCGGTGCCAGGCCCAGGCGGTGCTCCTGGAGATGGCGAGAGACCTCTGCATGTAGTCCCCCGAGGAGGAGACTGCCACGTGGCTCCAGGAAGCTGAGGACCCCGCGGTTGGAAGTACGTGTGGGGTACTGGTCCACAGATATTTCCAGCTGGTGAGCGTCCATGTGGATACTGACCTCATGGGGTTGCCCATCAGCCACAGGCACACTGTTATGCAGCAATACAGTGCCCTGGCCTTTCTCCACCACAGCCCGCAGGTGACCTTCAAATATGTCCACATAGATGAAGTCCCCATGCTGGCCCCCTGCTTGGAAGGCTAGGGGTGCCTGCCGGCTCCTTGTGGTGAGTGTGAACTCCAGGGCACCTTCATCCGGAGTGCTCCAGGCAGGGAAGGCCGCCAATGAGTGGGGCCCGGAGAAGCCCAGAGCCACACTGTCATCTGCAGAGAACTCTTCGGCGCATCCCTCATGTACATCTGGGGTCAGTGGCTGGAGGAGGTTGTGGCCATTGAGGGTGGCCCCATGGAGGCAACCCCGCAAAGCTCGGCTGGCTCCCCTCAGGTAGGGCAGGCCAAGGCTTCCAATGCCCCCCACGAAGAGCCCATAGGGGACTTCCAATGGGGCTCCTGAGACTGGGGCTGAGGAATTCAGGTGCCCATCTACTGACAACAAGGCCCAGCTGTCTGAGACAGTCAGCCCCACAGTGTGGATAATGGAGTTGCTCAGCAGTGTCTCTGCTGGGGTCTGGAGCCTTATCACCTCCTGGCCCAGGACAAGTCTGACCTGAGGAGAGAAAGGGGGAATAGGGCAGCACTTTGAATCCTTTGCTTCTGCTATAAAAGCATAGTTGGGTCCCCACACTTGGGGTCCCCAGAACAGAGGGCTTAGGACAAGGGCTTCTCATGTCACCCTCTTTCCTTCCTGCCATCTCTTTATTCATCTCCCAAACACCCACCAAAGTGATCCCTGTGTCAGGCCTGGATGGACTTGGGGACCCCGAGGTGAATCAGATGTTGTCCCTGCCCACAAATAACTGATATATAGCAAGATGCTTTCCTAGAGTTTCAATCTGTATTTTTTATTCTTACCCACTTTTCTTGGGTGAAAGGTGCCATAAAAATCACCTTGGGATCCAGAAAACTCACTTCTGGAATAATGGAGACATAGGAACCCTGGATCAGTCTCCCTAATTAGGGCAAAACACCTCCAGGTGGAAGCCAGGACCAATGTTCAGAGATGGTGAACATAATCTTTGTTTTGAAGGTTTAGTAAAGAAAAGATCCCTGACCTGGGGTGAGGGGAGATCCTTGGGGAGAGAAGGACATGGTTCTGTCTCCATGATCCTGGCACCAGAACTGGCTCTGGTGCAGTGTTCCCACCTCTAGATGGTAGACTGGGTGGAGGCAGAGGATAAGAACGGAAAGAGCAGCACCAAGAGCTGTGACCTTGGGAGTCCTCGTACAGAGCGCCTCTAAGGGTTGTGGCTTCCTTGTATCTGGCAGACAGGACGAGCAGTAGGACCAGGCTGTACCAGGCCAGTGTTCAACAGTGACATCTACTGGCAGTGAGAAGCAATGACAGCAGCGGACGGACTGATGGATGATTAAGACATTGTCCTCTCTGCACTGGAGTGTGGAAACAGCACCCATCCCCCTCAATTTGGAATAGGACTTCAGTTTCTCAAACTTCTTATACTTAGGGACAAGCCTCAAGAAAGAGCCAGACGACTCCTTGCTGTTAAGCTTGTGGTGACTTGAAGGATGAAACAGAAAAATGAAGGAACTGAGGTAGTACTGGTTGTTACCATCGAAGGCCAATGGTGATGCAGGATGACTGGTGCTATGCAGAGGGATGCAAAGGGGTGCTGGAGCCGGGAGAGGGGACCCAGCCTAGGCGAGCAGCAGGGGACACCTTCTGGAGGAAGGGAAGTCCATGCTGAGACTTCAAGGACAGGCTGGGGTTGGGCAGGTGCAGGGATGCATCTCAGGCAGACAGAGGGTAGTGAGCAAGGGCCTGGCAGCGACCTACTGCAAGATGGCTGGAGAGCGGAAGCAGTCAGTGTGGTCAAAGCACAAAGGCCAGCTGGGGTTGGGTGAGAGGTGAGGTTGGAGGGCAGGCGGGAAGAACAAGCTCACGAGGGAGTCACATCTGCAATGCTATTGCCATCTCACTGTGGAGAACTCAAGACCCCAGGGTGACAGTGTCTTATACAAGGTTAAACCGCCACTTGGTAGTCATTCAGAGCTAGAAAGGGAGTCTAGCAGGGAAACATCACTGACCTGCAGGCGTCCAGAGTAGAGCTGCAGGAGGAGGTGGTCTGTCCGGCCTGCTGCCAGGAAAAGCAGGGCTTCGGTCTGGGATGTGGAGAACTTCAGCTGTAGGTCTATGTCCTTCAGAGCTGTGGCCACAGGCACCTCCAGGTGATTCTCACCGAAGAAAGAGGCTGTGTGAGAGAGGGGGCTGGGGTCAAGGCTCAGACTCTGGCCTGGAGTAGGAGTGGACGGCGGGCTGCAGGGAGGAGGTTGTAGGCTGGTGCATCCTAATGGTTCTCCCATGTCACCTGCTTGGTTCTGGCATCAGAGGGAAGAGCCTCATCCTGTGCCCAGCCCAGAACTTGACTCTGAAGGAGACCAGATCCGGCAATTCCAAGCAACTCAGGCCCCTTCCTGGCCTAAAGGGAAATGGTCATTGGCCTCATTGTGTAGCCTGGTGGTCACAGACCCCAGGAATGGAATTTTAAGAGCACCACTCCTGCCCCAAACTGATACCCGCTCAACATCCTTCTAAGTGCCCTAAGCTCTAGCTCTTGGGCCATGCTTTTTCCATGTTCTGCCCACTTCCGCGGGTTGTCTGTGGCCATGGCTGGGCCTGGTCGTCGTACTAAGACAGGCGGTTCACCCATCCCCACTACTCTTCTGGGCCATGCTCCCAGCTGTCTTTGGGGGTGGGGGTGACTGCTTTTTGGGTGTAGCCAAGTTCCTGGAGAAGCAAAGGCCCTGAGGCCAAATGGAGATCACGCACAGTGCTGGACCCAAGATGGGCCGACGCTTCCCCCACTGCCACACACTGCTTCGTGCTGTAGTGCTATTAATGGCCTCTGGTGAGCAGTCGGGTCAGGCCCCATTGTTTCCAACATGGCCAGGGAGCCGGGGAGGGCAACCGCTGAGTTCTCCAAGCCTCGGCCAGGCTGATGGTAAGGCCTGGGAGGGGCTGAGGGGCTGCTATACCGCAGAGGGCTTCCCAAGGCAGCAGGCCACATTTGGGGTTTTCCAGGGTTTGTGGGCACTGTTCAGAGACACTCCTGCCCCCACACCTGGTCTTTTTAAGTTGTCACATCTTCCAGGTCGTTTCCTGAAATCAGCCTTTCTTGACCTCCAACCTGCTGCCACAATTTCTGTTTCCTTCCTTTTGTAGAAATTAGGGAAAAATACAACTTTGATTCTGCCCCCCAGACATCCAGGGTTGGAGATGGAGCAGAGCGGAATGGGTTAAGAAGGTGATTCACTTCTTCCCTTAAAACCCATGTGCGTGAGCAACGGCCGATGGCCTTGATAGGGACAATCTGATACCAGCCATGTATGTGCAAGTCCCTGACAAGCCAGAGTCAGCTGATACAGACCTGAGGACATAGCATCAGCCACCAGAGAAGTGACACTTTGCAGACCCTAAGGGGCACCCAACACTGCCCAGAGGGATGTCCAGGGCAGATAGTGCTCTTTCCCCTGGGTTGTGCTGAAATCCCCTCTAGTTATCCCCTTTTGCCAGCACTTGCTGACAGCCTGGAAACCTTGTTTGGGAACCTAAGGGAATCAAGTGAGAACCGCAAAGGTATCTGGGTGGGTACTGCCCAGCAGGCCTCCGTGCTAGTGAAGGGCAGACCAGGGAGCTGGCAGAGGGCAGGCACCCACAGGGGCACCTTATCTGCAAAGACATTGCTTCTTAAGAACAAAACAGCATGCTAAAGTGCGGGCAGCCACAGTGCAGAGGGTGGGGGCACGGGGCCCCTGCAGGATGGAGGCACCACCATGGTGGGCTGGAGCTCATAGCAGCTGGCAAGAGTTGATCACTAAATTTGTAGGAATTTTGTGAGCCAGGTGATGCTGCTCAGTGGGAATATTTATACCATGGAAAGGGGCAAACATGACCAATCAGGGCTCCTTGGCTCCCAGAAGGCCTGTTGCTAAACATTTACCTGCCTATCATTCTTGGGAAGTGGGGCCATCCATACACCCACACACCCATCCACACTTCCTTCTGCCAAGGGTGCAGACCTGGCAGGGCATGGTCAAGGGCAGGGCTCTCGAGCAGTCAGGATCAGAAGTAGATAGCTGACTCTAACCACTGAACCACCTGCCTCCGGCCTGTTCCCAGAAGGGGAGAGCAGCAGCCTGTCTGGCCTGGTTCTCCAGGCCGGAGTGGGAGGGAGGCAGGAAGCAGAGATACGTTCCAGAAAGCTGGGGTCTGAATGGACCCATTGAGGGGCTGGGCCCTGCTGCTTCCTGTGGGGCTGGGCAGGGATGGGCTCACACAAGCTGCCTTGTGCAGCTGGAAGCACACAGGCCAGGCAGCCTCCTTGTCCCAGTACAGGCCTCTGAGGTCCTGCTGGCCAGAGTTTTGGAAACTCTGACAGCACCCCCACCCCCACCCCACCTCCGACCTCCTCTGCTGCACCTCTTCCTGCCTCTGATGGGCTACACTTGTAAGAACCCAGAACCCCGGTCCTGGGAGGGGCAGTTGGAGAGCGGCTCCGAATGGAGAGGAGGAGCAGGATAAAGAAACAAGGAGCTAGGACTCAGTCCTGAGGGCTTCCTGGGAGAGGTGAGGGTGGCGTGCAGGAGTAGAGAGGGAGAAGAATAGGCAGTCTCAGAGGGTAGCAAGGCCAGGTGAGAGAGTGGCAGGGATACCCAAGCTCTGGAAAAGCTGAAGAGGGATGAGTAGAGGGAAAAGGAGCCAGGACCAAGCCAGGCTCAGCGGCCTGATGGGGATGCGGGAGCCGTGGGCCAGGAGAAGGGGCGTCAGCAGTGGCTGGGGACCTGTGATTGACTTTCCAGGTTCAACAACACCAAGGATTCATCAAACGCCAGTTCAGGCCTTCAGCAGCGGTGTGGGTGGCCCTCTGGGCCAGGAGAAGGGGCCCAGTTCTGGCCTCAGTGTCAGCATTCCGTAGAATGGGCGCCCCTTCCCACACCCTCCTCCTCCTGCCCCTGAGGATTTGTCCCTGAGGCTCCCTTCTGGTCTGGGAGTCTGCTCCCGAATGCAGGTGTGCAGAGTTAATGGTGTGAGCTACCTGGGTGGCACCAAGCCTTCTCTGGTGTGTGGCAGGAGCAGGATGCCTGAGGGGTCTAGAGGACAATGGGAGGGGCAGGAAGAGTGGGGGGGTTTCTCTGAAAGAAGGGACGGGGGAGGGAGTACCCGGGACTGTGTAGGTACCTATTTGCATGTGTGTGCAAGTGTGTGGGTGGCTGCTGGGAGTGTGTTTTGGGTTTGCATAAGACTGTGTGTTTGTGCATGTGCGTGCTTGTGGGCTGGGAGCTGCCAGGACAGAGCGTTGATTGTGCCCAGGCCTGTCTTGCCCCTCAGTGCCCACCCGCCGTGACTTGGCTGGGCCTGGCTCTATGAAAGGGGCTGTGTTTTCCTGAGGGTCCCCGCCCCAGTGCCCACCCATTAGGGAAGTTTGCTGAAGGTGGGGCAGTCCCACAGCTTCCCACCCTTCCTGCCCTCAGACCACGGCTGTCTGGGCCCAGGCTGGGGCAGCTCCACCCCTCTTCCTCAGATGAGGGTTGGGGGCACAGAAAGAGCCTGTGTCCTTCCCTGCCAAGCCCCTTCTCAGATAGGGAGATGAAACCTAGGCCAAGCTACTGTCTGGCAGGACATGGATTGTGCTGGCATCTCCTGGCTCCCCGGGAGCACTCCTAGAGCATATATGGATGGGGACCTGGGCCCTGCCACTGGGGGGGCTCAAGCGTGAGGTTCACTGTCCCCATGATGCCCAGTCCTTGCCTGTCAGCAGGTTCCTGGGGCAACAGACTACTGTGTGGGGAGCCCCTCTGCTCACTGGGCTCCCTCCTCCCTCCCAGGCTGGCCAGGGGAAGGGTCTCAAGGATGGGCGCCCTTTCTAGTGTGGGGGCTGCTGCAGACACCGGTCCTCCTGAGTCCCCAGAGCCCTTGGGGCCGGCCAGACCATCTCCCCGTCTGTGTCTTGGCCGCTTGGTCGCGCCTGCCTGTCTCTGCCTCTGCTTTCTTTCGTCTTGGCCCCTCTTCCCTCCGTGCCATCTGGGCTGTAGCGGGGAGCACCGCCCTTGCCCTAGAGCATCCCGGAGAGCCAGGCCTGGGGCCTTTGGCCTCCCCAGCCCTGGGTGCCCCATTTCTCAGGTGATGGGTTCCTTAGTATCAAAATTCTCTGTAGCCCTCACCTGCCGTAGGCTGCCTGGCCTCCGCTTTCCAGAGAGACCGACTGAGCCTCCAGAGGAGAAGCAGCTTGACAGAGGAGCAGAAAGACTGCCGCTCCCAGCCCTGCCACCCGTCTGAGACCCGCCGGCCCTGGCACCCCCGCTGCCAGGCAGTCACTCCTCGTGTGTCCCGCTTCTGCCGCATTCCTGGTTGCCTGGGGGCAGACAGGCAGCCCCACGGCCAGAATGCGTCACGGGCAGCATTCCTGGGTGTCTGCTGCTGCCTGGCTTTATAAGGGAGAAAGCTGGGAGCTGGGGCTGCTGGGCAGGATGACCAGTGGGGAGATCCCAGGGCCCCAGTCAGGGTGGGCAGCAGGAGGGCTGGACACTTGGGGGGGGGCACAGCCAGCGGAACTGAGACAGAACCGGAGATGAGAGACGGACAGAGAGCGGGGAGACCCACGTCCACTCACTCATTCAGTCACAAGTACAGAAATGCAGCCATGGGGATAGAAAAGGGGGACCCACTTTGGAGAGGCAGAAAGCCTGAGAAAGATTTTAGAACCGAGAATGAGAAATAAAGACCCCCGCCTCTCCAAACACTGGACTCAGGGATGCAGACCCAGGCCTGGGGAAGGAGGTGGAGTAGGAAAAACCAGTAGGGACGGAGAAGGCTGCGTGTTGGCAGTGAGCCCGCTGCTGGGAAGGGGGTGAGGGGGGCACCCTGCTGGCTGGCTGGGCATGGGAAGAGCTCTGCTCTAGGGTGAAGCTGGACTTCTTCACCACAGCCCCTTGGGATTTGGCACCAGGGGTGCAGATCCTGGCCCCAGACTCAGACACTGGGCAGGAGAGGTGAGGGGGGCTGTGGGGTGCGGCACTCTCGGGAGGCCAAGGCGGGGGTGAAGGGCTCTCTGTCTCCCTGACGGATACGGGTGTGTGTGGCCCTGCCGGGGGCTGAGTGCCGCCCTGTGTGAGAGCAGGGATGGGCCAGGGGCCTACCCCAGCAGCTGGGCTCCCCCTGAGGTCCCCCAGGTCCCCCAGAACTCAGGCCAGA